TTGTATTTCCTAAACACAAGGCGTATCGAATACGGTATCGATACCACAGCACACCCTGAACTTTCCGTACTCAACCTTAAGTCAGAACAGAACAACGATACAGGCAGAAACATAACCTTTGAACCCTGAAGAATATATTATTGTGGAAATGGTGGAAGCTTAAGCGAATGTTTGCAAACAGTAATGATACAAACAGGTAGTGTTAGTATCCTCGCATACTAAAGATAAGTAATGTACAGTTTCGTTTCGACCCAAGGTCTTCGTGAGCACACAACCCTCAAGCAGCCGATGTTTTAAATGAACAAGTATTTTTCATCTCACTCCCTAACACCACGACCCCCCCCCCCCCCAAAAAAAAAAAAAAAAAAAAAAACCAAATACGTTGTCCAAATGTCTTCTAACTACGTCTCTTCGCTTGGATATGGTGGCCTTTATTCAAGGCGTGTTTAAAGTGTCGAGCTAAGCCCAAAATTGTGTCACTGTTTGTCTCCCTTTAATTTAGTCTTTACCACACTGTTGTGTGCTGACGAAGAACTTTGCTCGGAAAGACCTCAGTACTTGAAATTATCCTTAATTTGTGAGGATACACCTTCTAATATTACATATTCGTAATATTACTAAAGAATATTTTGTGTCCGCTGAAGAGCACAATAAAAATTTAACTTTAAAAAAAAAAACATTTCGTTTAAATGGCAGTAAAACAAAATGATTGTAAAAATCGTATGATATCGTCATTTCTCCGCGAACACCAAATACTCTCGCAGCCTGTGCCTTCTTGTCCCCACACAATACGTGAAAATGAAAACTCAGCTTTAAATTGAACGTTTTGTTTTCGAGAGTACACGCTAACAGCTGTGTACGCCGTTCTATTTTTACAAAGTTATCACGCACTATAAACAAACCAGAATAAGCTAGTGCTAAATTGGGTCATGTCGGAGTCGTGTTTATTTCACTGAGATAATGACCTTTGCTTGTGTTATAAAGGTCAAACTTCCTGTGTAGAGCAGTGTGTTTCATTTTGCAAGCGGTGAGCAGGACTGTGAACATATTGATAAACACACCTGGAACATGAATTATATGATTGTATTGTTATGAGCACTTGATCGATTTTTTTTGCTCACAGCAGATGACAACAGATAAGATCGGAGTTTTTAGTTTCTCAGCCGTTTTTTTTTTTTAACTTCCTCACAATAGTTCAAGGCATATTTACCAATTTAGATTAGAGCTGAATTTTAAGACAAGGTTGCTTGTTACTGTTATCTATTCAAGTCACTGTGCGACACATATTTTCGTTAGAAAAACAAAGGTTAATCAATTAGTGATCACAAGTGACATACGTGATTGTTCAAATTTAAAAGGTGTAGTCACAGGTTACTTACGTTGCTAAACGTGGTCTCAGGTCACGTACGTGATCATTCAAACTTACAAAGTGTGATCACACGTCACGTAAGTTCAAGGTGTGATCTAAAGTCACGTACAAAATCATTTTAGTTCGCAATGTGTGATCTCAAGAAACATAGGTGAGCACAGGTCAGCGATCATAAGGCGGTTATTTTAATTTACAAGTTGTGATTACTAGTAGCATGCATCCGTGATCATTTACAAGGGCTTACAACTTGAATATATATTTGTTTTAAATATTGATTGAATGTATTTAAATTTCTGTCGTGCTTTTATCTAACGTATAGTATAGCCTATAGACCTGCTACTTCCAGTGAAGTGTTTCTTCCAGACTTTTTTTCTACGGGGGGGGGGGGGGGGGGGGGGGGGGGGCACTTGAAATTCTCGGGGAGGGGGGTGGCGGACACTGTTTAAAGTATATATTTTCTATGTAAATTCCATTTTGTTCTGGGGACGGTAGACTCTTCGAAGAGATGCCTGGAAGAAACACTGCTCCAGTGTTTGTATAGCCTATAGACCTGCTACCTCCAGTGTCCTATAGCCTATAGACCTGCTACCTCCAGTGTCATATAGCCTATAGACCTGCTACCCCCAGTGTCGTATAGCCTACAGACCTGCTACCTCTGCGGCGAAACCAGAAGACATCCACAACACTTTAGTGAGATGTAATTATACTTTATAAACATGTTGGAAATATGCGGGATGTGTATCGAGGTTAAGAATGTGAGGTGGGTGGGTGGGGGTGAAGAGTTGCTTGCCACTAGTATTAATTAGACTTCCGGTATATATTTTCCCAGTTCGCTAGGTCTGGTGTCGCTGGTGAGGTAACTGGACCCCACCTCCTATAATAACTTTGCATTTTCAGTTTGGTGTCACCCGTCTCCCCACTACTATAATATGTTTAACTGGATAAAACATTGCTTTACTGTAAATTTTACACATTTTTTTCTATTTGATGTCACCAGGTTTCGGAACTCCCCCGCCCCTACATAAAGACGCTATTGCATGCAGCTCCCCCCCCCCCCCCCCCCCCCACTTCATGTGTATCAATCAAACACATGCGATTCAAATGGACATTCTGTGATTTCATCGTTAATGCTAGAAAGAATATTGACTCCGTGTAAAGTAATACCAGACAAATCCTTCCGTACACCCAAGAAGCAATAACTGAGCAGACTGGATGTATGAAAACTTGGCCTTGTATGAATGAACTTCGGTGACATAAAGCCCCTGTCCCTGTCCTACTAGGCTGGCTGAAACGGTTTCAGTGAAACCGTCACGAGATCTGACTAATTTAGTAACGACAGTTTTTTTCCCCAGAACCGTTTCATCGAAATAGATTAGAATTGTAAGCATATAAGCATTTTAGTTGAAACCTATTGGAATTTGATGCTCTGGTTTTACGATAAAAAGAAAAAAAAATCTTGACCGAAGTACAGAAGCACTGAGTATATCGGTGTATAGCCGCTGGGAGAAGAGATAGCTAGGCAGAAGAAAGGTTTATTGGCCTACAAACTGTTGTCATATGAAGCTGTAGTTACCTACAAACTTACAGGCCCTAAAGAAGTTTAATCAGAGCCTTAAAAAGGTTCAAAGGTCATTTTCTACCTGCCAGTGCATATTGTCAACAACAATAGCAAACATCAGTCATGTTAACTATATTCTTATGCCCTTATTGTGAACATTAACAAACATAAGGCATGTTTTACTTGGCGGTTTTCCTATGCAATCCTTCCTATACATAACTTTCTTGTATAAACTAACATAATGCTATGATTGACCCAGAGGCGTAGCGACCCTTCCCGGGGACAAACTTTCGATTTGCACCCCCCCCCCCCCCTCGAACTTTTGGTTTGCCCCCCCCCCCCCATCAAACTTTCGATTTGGCGCCCCCCCCTAAGGTCGGCGCCCGGGGACATATGTCCCCCCCCCCGCGCCCCCTCGCTACGCCTCTGGATTGACCTACTATCCCAATGTGTAGCTAGTCAACAAAATATGATAACCGTCTAAGCATCAAGTTTTTTGCTACCAATGGCATCTACGGCGTATAGATTCTATCAAAGGACTGAGCCTGTAGTTAACTATTTGATAATCTCGACGCCCTGTGTAAGCCTGGGTTAATCTTGCAGTTATCAATCAATGGAAACGTAAGCTGTTGTATGTGATCAAATTTCCGAGTGTATACCAACTTATCAATCAAGAAAGTTATACATAATTGTAACAACTGTCTAGTATTAAGCTCAACGTATGTACTCACCATTGTGCTCACGATTTTACGGAATTAGACGTACGTGTGCAAGTATTTATCCGACTATGACACTCGACCAAAATCTTTATCCCACTGTGACACACGACCAAAATCTATTTTACATACCACCACGCGCCACTGAACAGTCAGCTTGGGGGGAAATTTCTCGCACGCGCAGGCAACACGTGGTTTATGTCGGCTGAAAGATGATTATTGGATGCTGGGTGAGCTTCAGTCCAGCTGGTGGATGGGGAGCTAAAACTGTCGATGTAAGGGTGACACCTTCAGCTGTATGTAATACATTCTATCTGACACCTTCAGTTGTATGTAATACATTATGACAGCTATGCTGTATGGCCGGGATGTTTTAATAAGTCCCGTTTAAGAGTATTTAAAAGCTGCTGGATTCTTTAATTACTTTAACTGAAACACCAATCGTACATTTCGTTATTTTGTTTGTGAAATAATAACTTTGAGAAATATCGCAGACAAAATTTCTGATAAACTATTGATTTGGTGCAAAAAAAATCTTGACAAGAAGAGTTAAACTCCCTGAATTTGGCACGTAATGAAAATAGCCAAGATAGATTTATTGACAGAAGGTAAATGATGTAAGGTTTCATTGGAGTTGCGTGGAAATTTGTTCACCACAATCAGAGCACTCTTTGTTTTCTAGTGAGGCCTAATATAGAATCTATATAATGTAAACAAAATTAAACATGACAGTTTAAAATGATAAATAATTAAATGTGCCATTTTTAAAGTAACATTAATTTAAACGTAATTATTTTTTACTAATGAATAGATTGTGGTGCTGAATATAATCTGGGAGATAAGATAAAGTTAAAAATTAAACAAACACACACACAAATGGGACGCCTTAGTTGAGTTGGACTTGACGAGCACATGATGCTATTTGGAAAGTCTGGCGTTCGGATCCCGGGCTGATGGACGTCCCTGAGTCCATCCCGCTCTGATGGGTATCTGACTTATGTTAGGGAAAATACATGTTGCTGTGCATAGTGCTGATCACACTATCCCTTCAAATGCCGAGGGTATCGAAAGACGTGAACTCTACTTGCCCGGTGGACCGCTGGGTTAGAAAGGTTAACTTTTACCCGAAAAAATCTAATCTACGTCAAAATTTGGAACACAATTTGTTCAAACATCATTATCAGAAGTTGTAGTTGGATGCAGTAGTTTGATTGTAGTTTTGTCATAATAATTGGACGATAACAATAACATGGAATCAAGGATGGATCAATGTTTGTATACTGGGTGTATAAGTAACTAGAAACTATAAGACATGTTGCCATGCACTATAAAGAGATCTAAATGTACACATCACGAATTCCCGATTTTTGCGCGGCGCACCATAGTTGCTTGCTAGTAGAGAGACGTCACATTTCAAGTTTCCCCGCGAACTTGTATCACACGCACTTCCATGGCTTGCTCAGGTTGTGACGTCATCTGCATAGGCAGTGCTCTCCATGGGTGATGCCGCAGCATTGTGAAGCCAATCCCTCACGATGCCGAAATCTTTTATTTACTCTGTGCGGAATTATGGATCAAGAAAGCAATTAGATGATGACAATCAAGATAAGTGTAAGTGACATTAATGACCATATCTGTATTTTAATTAGTTGATACTATTAACTCCATATTTTTGTACCTTATTTCATCCCCGCTGTTTGTACACACTTTGCGCACCATTCTTCACGAACACAAATAAAATGCTTTTTTGTTTTGTTAAGACTTATTGGAGGGTTATTATTCTGTAGATTATATTAATTATACAAATGTGTAAGCTAATATGGTTCAAATCTACATGATGCGACCAAGACATGTTTACACACACTGAGTGTGACGCAGTCATGTCGCACATCACACTTATGTGTGGACTTGCCTTCACTGAAGCAATATTTTGCCTAGATCTAGATAGTAATAACAACAATAAATGTAATGTTTACATTTTAGAAATCTGACATTTCCTTTGTTTTTACTTGAAATGCAAATTACATTAATTCTAATTTTTTGTTACTTTTAAAATCAAAATAAAAGTAGGCCTATTATTAGTATTAGTTATTTTTTTTTTTTAATTTGTCTAAATACTATATAGTTAAAAAGTGTTATAAAATTATTGAAGAATAGTTCAAGACAGTGTTTCTTCTAGACTTTTTTCTCTTGGGGGAGTATTATATTTTCTATGTAAATTCCATTTCGTTCGTTCGGGGGGGGGGGGGGGGGGGGGCATCCACCTCTCAACCCCCCCATTCCCCGAAGAGATGCCTAGAAGAAAATCTGGTTCAAGGCAAAAAACTCACGCTTATGATAAAATTGAACTATTTACTTAATTAAATTCTCTAGATGTTACATACAAAGTCTTAAGATAACTAATGAAGCAGTCACACCAGTGATGATTGACGATTTTAACTAACAATGTAGGATGTCAACCCTGATGTCCCTTTATACGCTTGAATTTCTTCGTTTTTTTAATGGTTATAGGCGTATGCACGTTATTCAACTCTTTCACTTGTATTTATTTTGTTTTGAGAAAACCACGTCTCTAAATATTACTTTTAGAATCAAACAGGACCGATAACTCAATCCATGGTTTTACAAGGTAGTTGCCCTTAGTGCAAGATCGTTCATTTTTTAGCTTTGGAGTTCTTCTATAAAATGACTTCACAAAGACTATCCACTAAACCTACTCCTAAAATTACAACACAGAGTATGCTCTAATCGAAACAGTTTAAAATAAATTACAATTACAAAGAAAATGGATGTTTTTGTCATTTTTATGATGTAGTGTTACACACAAGTGTAGCTAGAATACATTTTCCACTTGACATCCACCACTCAAACTGGTAAGTGGTCATGTATGAATAACCCAACTGTGTATAGCCCTACAGGTAAAATGTTATTTGTGGGATGGTGATTCTATGCTGGATATTCCAATCTAATATTGTAGCGTCTTGACAAAGTTTGGTGGGATTTTTGCCTGCCTTTGCTCTATTTTCAAATACAAGTGGGTGGAGTAAGGTGGGGGCTTTTCTTCTCCGTTGGGCCAGTTTATTTGAATGTCATTTAATCCCCACCACTGCCTTACCTGTGATTAATTAAAAACAAAGCTTTATGAAAACTTCTGAGATAATCACCTCCACACAAAAAGTTTTAATGGTAATGTTTGAATTGTATTTCAGCCAATGATCTAGAAGACATGATGGGACCCACTAAAATGGTGATGTTTGTATTTCAGCCAATGATCTAGAAGACATGATGGGACCCACTAAAATGGTGATGTTTGTATTTCAGCCAATGATCTAGAAGACATAATGGGACCCACTTAAATGGTGATGTTTGTATTTCAGCCAATGATCTAGAAGACATGATGGGACCCACTAAAATGGTGATGTTTGTATTTCAGCCAATGATCTAGAAGACATGATGGGACCCACTAAAATGGTGATGTTTGTATTTCAGCCAATGATCTAGAAAACATGATGGGACCCACTAAAATGGTGATGTTTGTATTTCAGCCAATGATCTAGAAGACATGATGGGACCCACTAAAATGGTGATGTTTGTATTTCAGCCAATGATCTAGAAGACATGATGGGACCCACTAAAATGGTGATGTTTGTATTTCAGCCAATGATCTAGAAGACATGATGGGACCCACTAAAATGGTGATGTTTGTATTTCAGCCAATGATCTAGAAGACATGATGGGACCCACTAAAATTGTGATGTTTGTATTTCAGCCAATGATCTAGAAGACATGATGGGACCCACTAAAATGGTGATGTTTGTATTTCAGCCAATGATCTAGAAGACATGATGGGACCCACTAAAATGGTGATGTTTGTATTTCAGCCAATGATCTAGAAGACATGATGGGACCCACTAAAATGGTGATGTTTGTATTTCAGCCAATGATCTAGAAGACATGATGGGACCCACTAAAATGGTGATGTTTGTATTTCAGCCAATGATCTAGAAGACATGATGGGACCCACTAAAATGGTGATGTTTGTATTTCAGCCAATGATCTAGAAGACATGATGGGACCCACTAAAATGGCAACTCGCTCAAAGACAAAGCCAGGTGGGAAATCCTTACATGACTACCTGTTACCATGGCAACTGCCTTTGAAAATCCCTGGTTCTACAAGAAACAATGTGGTTGTCAAGCGTAGAGAAACCAAGTCCCGGTCATATCATCACCTCAGTCTAGTCACTCGTTTCTACTTAGGCATGAGAGTAAGAACTTATTGATGCTCATTGGTAGTTTAATGTGGCTCATCTCATATGTCAATGTACTGGATTAAAGTAGTTTAGTAGAGTTCATCTGATGCATTGAAATCCATAAGTATAGTAATTTAATAGGGTTAACCTGATATGTTCATTTTAAGAAGTAAGGTAGTTTATAAAAAAAAAATATCAGCATAAAATTTTTAACCTGGTATGTTGATATTTATGAATGTAGTAGTTTAACATGATTAAGATTGTATGTATGTATGTATGACTATATTTATTAATAGTGTAATATAGTTAACCTGGTATGTTTATATTCATGAGTGTAGAATATATTTGTAATTTAATATGGTTAATTGAATATTTTGGTAATGCTAAACTTTCTCACTAATAGTAATAGGCCACTGGCTGAATAAATACAACTGTAGCAATTCTGTGCATATTTAAGATAAATATACTATGTAATTAATATTGTTCAAACTGACATCTTGAGTTAAAGAGTGCAGTTGGTCATAAAGTTTGATAAAGCTAACAGTTTTGATTCAACTTAACCATCTTTCAGATGTCAAGAATTCGCTCAACAAAGCACGGGCCAAGAACAATCCCAGTCAACCACAATCACGACTGTTCACATAGATCCCACCACCTGCCTAGGAATCTGCACCACAGACATGATAAACAAAGCCACTGCCCAGTGGATGGACTGAGGCTCAACTCAAACACAAGTGACACTGTTGTGACAAGAAGTCAGTCTGAGTTATCTGCCCTAGGTGAGCTCTCTTGTGCCAAGTCATGTTTCTAATTCTTACTTCAATCTCACTCTCTTAAATGCAACATATATACACTACATTTGCAACAAATTGAAGACATTTTTTAAATAATTAGAGAAATGTATTAGGAATATCTAACTAAAATGAATTTTTAAAATGAAAACACACCTACACAGGTTTAAGACAGCACACATTGACATGTCTAACACATATACACTGCTCAACAGTATCAGCCAATACTTCAAGTTCCCTTACAAATCTTATTTTATTCATTTGTACATAATTATTACAAACACACATATACTTACAAAACAGGAAAAAATAGCCTCAACTGTTATTATGATAATCTTTCTTCAACTGTTAGACAATACCTCATTGTTTAGTGTTTTAATTTATTTCATATTTTTATTCTAGCAAACTCTAAAGAAAATACCAGAAAGCAAGTTGGCACAAAGCAAAATATTTCACCAAGTACTAAAAAAAGTCTTACAAAAGAAATGGAAAATGAGGAATCAAAAAACCAAAAGCTAAGACAGATTCACAAGAAAGAACCAATTCAGTCACATACTAGTCAACCACAGCACTGTGTAGTAAATCAATCAAACACAAAGAAAGAGAGAAAAATTATTATAAGGAGAACAAACTCTGATTTTAGCATTCACACGGATTCAATCATCAAGTGCAGAAATTTGCAATCAGAAATTTCTAGAATTCAGAATTTAAACTCAAAAGAAAACAGCAATGATACAACAATTGGGAACACAACCTGTAAGGCTAGTGTGAATCAGTGTGATACAGACCAAAGAACTGGCTCTAATCCTACAGAACAGGCTCATTGTGATGCTTCCCCAGGTAGGACAAAAGTAGGAAATGATGTGGTCCCTAAACTATCATCTGATGTTCAACAAAGTCCAAATACAGATGTTCAAACCATCTCAAGCATCTCAGCCACCACACAGCATCCAAACTCTACCCCAGCCTCAAACCAACAAGAGCTTTACAAATGTGCCTCAAACCAACAAGAGCTTTACAAATTTGCCTCAAACCAACAAGAGCTTCACAAATTGTCTACAAGAAAACAAGGGACTGAAACTGATCAGAATAATCTTGGTCAACTACACACTGCAGGACAGGTGTACAAGGACATGGCTCAAGGGTTTGGTGTATCAAATAATTTGAACGTTGTCTTAAAGCAAAGTCTGGATACTAATAAAGAAAATATGGAGACAGGTACTCCAAATGATGAAACCCTGGGGAAAAATAATAACTTCATCAGCCAACATCAGTTACAACATTTTTTATCCCACACAGAAGACTCATTAAAACTGACAAATCAGTTTTCTAAAAAGTTAAAGATTAACTTACACAATAAAAAGATGGTTTTGACTCAGGGAGATTTAATGAATGCTGCTGATTGTCTGAACTCCACAAAAGATGAAAGTTCTACTTATTCCAAACAGATGATTGAAAACCTTGAATTTTTGCAACAAAACAAAGAAAATATTGATACAACTAGCAAGGTGAAGGCTGGTCAACATCTGGTGACTAGTGTCATCAAAGAAGTGAAGTCTAGGCTGCCAAAGCTGAAACCAACCACTCCTGGCATCTTGCCATTTAATGCGGCATTTGGACAGTTGCGGGTGGCAACTTTTGGCACCAACACGCCTGTGTTTGTAACCACTGGACCATTGCAGTCCATGGGTGAAGAGAAGAAAAACATCTTGTTTATTGATAGTAATCCTGCTTTATCTGTGGGGAATGAGATGAATGATACCTCAGGTCAGCTTTCACACCAAACTAGCTCCTTTATAATAAACAGCTACAAAGGTCAAACTACGTTCACTAAAACATCAAATGTTAGCACCACACCCGGGACAGCTAAATGCCTTTATGTGGCACAACATGGCCACCAGTTTAATACTGAACCCAGTCCTTCAGCATCAAAAGCAGGTGACCTCACAGACCCAAGCAAACATTTATACACAGCCATGCCTGCATATGATGAGCTAAAGCTTGCCCCCAGCAGCTGTGGTACATCTACACAAGAATCTTTACCACAGTTCAAACAAAGGCTTGTCAGTCAAATGGCAGAGAGCAGTTCCAGACCAAACAGTATAGCTCAGCTCTTCAAGATGTGTCACAGTGCTCCTCCAGCATTCATGCAAGCTCAGGCACCCAATAAATTTCCAATCTTCAGAAAAAATCTGGCCACTTCAGCCATGTCTCAAATCAACTTTAACCAAACAAGTGAGAACAGGAAAGGGACGAAGCAAACAACAGCAACCCCACTACCAACAGCCAACGAGAGAAGTCAAACGACCCAGGGTAGCTGTCCCCAGGCAAAAAATGTCTTTCTCTCTCCTCCTGGGTTTATGGACTATACACACCTAAAGGCTCCAGTTCCAGATTTCCAGAATGGTGTTCAGATGGTTTCAAATGATCTAAGATGCACTCTTAATTTACAAATAGCTTTCCTCAGTCGCCCTCTCATCAAGACTTCAGACAATTCAACTGCTGCATTGTTACAGTTAGAGAATGTTGACAGTGGGGTGAATATTTTTAAACCTAGCAGCTTGCAAATCCCAGGATTTGGTCCCATAGAGTCCCACAACCTCCACAACAAAGGTCTCATTTTCCCCACACCAGCGGCTGATTTACTCAGCAATGTGGCCCATTCTCCCCCACTCTTCCTGCAGGGCATGGAGAAAGGAAAAACTTTACCTCATTTATCCAGTCCGAAAGAATCCTTCAATTCAAGACTAGATTTGCAAGGTATGTTAATGAATGCACCAGCACAGGAGTTGGTACCAGCTGAGGGTAAGGTGAACATGTTTAGTAAGGACCACAGGTATGACAAACCAAAGTCAAAGGTCATGAAAAGTCCCAGAAACATTTTCTCCAAAACCACAGAAGCAGAGGGTAGCGATGCTACTCTGATGGCAACAGACGAAGGTGCCGTAAATTCTGCCATCGTGCCGAAGAGAAGGGGAAGGAAGAGGAAATGGCCGAGCCCTACGTCAGGCAGTGAAGACACTGCTCAAAGTTCGAGTGGGTCAAATACAGTGTCGTCAGGTTCTAAAAGCAGCCGCTGTGATAATATGTGTCCACTGTGTTGTCGTATGTTTACACGCTCCTGGCTACTGAAGGGTCACATGCGTACTCACACAGGGGAAAGGCCTTACCTCTGCTCCCACCCATCCTGTGGCAAGGCATTTGCTGACAGATCTAACCTACGCTCTCACATGCTGATACACTCTGTGGCCACACGCAGCTACCCCTGCCCCAAGTGTGGGAGAACGTTTTCTCAGAAACGATACCTCCACAAACACAGCATTGAAGTCTGCAGAATAACTTCTGAGAAACAGTAGCTTGAATATGGGAACAAACAATTTTCATATTGTATTAACTTTATTTTTAATTTATTACAAAATAATTAAGAAATGTGATATATAATTATATTTTAAAATTGTGTACTTGTTTTTACTAGTGCTAATACAAAAATTCATAAATCATTTTCATATTCATTATACATGTCAATATACTGTACACATCTTTATGGCTTCTGACTATTCTTCACATGTGTATATCTTTTCATAACTGCATCACACATCACTGCATGTACTTATTTCATTCAATCACTCAAACACTTCAGGAACTATAGGATACATTTCACCTGTGATTACAGCTGTAATCAAATTAGTGCAATCAAACAAAATGTTACACATTTATTTGAATGAGAAGATCCTACAACTATTAAAATTATATATTTTCAAACTCTGTACTACACACCATAAAGAAAAATGATAAATTAGATTGTTCTAATGATAAATTAAGTTGTTCTGTATGGCTTCAAGTATTAATATATTTTATAAAGATTTAAACAATGTATTAGAATTAAATGTTTGATATACAACCAAATGAATAGTTTGGACGGATTATGAAGTTGTTTTGACAATAAATGATTTGAAACAAAAATGGAGATGTTTCAGGAATGTACATAAAATTAAAAATTTCTATAAAAATATTCCATGTTATTTTGTAACTGTACATATTACTATTAACAAGCTGGTAATGGTAAGACACATTAATATCAATGAATTCTTCCCATAAAACATTGCAATGCTACAAAATATAAAAAGTATTTGAACAATCAAATAGTCATGGTAGACTTAATAAATCAAAGACTCTGTTACATTAGAATCCACTATAACTAGCGACTGTATATCTAAGTTTGAAAGATAGAAATTACAAAGTACATTTTACATTTATGCACAAGTCTAGAAATTAATTATCAAGCCTAATTATTATTATAAATGTCATTCTATGTCAGCCTAACTATAGTATGTGTTCCTAGGCTCAATAATAAACTCTCATCAAAAGGTGTTGACAAAGAGTGAAGGCCACTGTGGTTTTTAAAAACTACTTTGAGGAATAATTTCTGTCTTTCCCAACTGGGATGTATTTGTAAAATTATTTTAGACATCTTTGACATAAACTACACAAAAGATTGGTACTTAACTTTGCATAAAAATGACAGATAACCTGAGATTCTTAAATATTCAAACTTAAGAAAATTTGTCCTTGATCCCATTGTGCATCAAGCCTGGGCTTTCAACAACAGTGGGCACCAGCTGATGCTGGAATACAAAGATCTTCACCTTGTTGAAGATGTAGAGGAAGATGAGCAGCACAGAGACATACTGTACCCAACCCCACTTGATCAGGTTCCAGAAGCCAGGAGTATAGCTGAGAGAGGGGTTAAGAAATTTTAAACAAATAAATCAAACGATTTATAAGATTTGTATTTAGTTTTAAAAAGCATAGTATTGTTACTACTTCGAGATTAAAAAATAAAATTAAAACAAAACTAATATAAGAAAGTGTAGGTTAAAAAAAACTGATAAAAGAAAAAAAAATTAACAAAAACAATTAGCTTAAAAATGCGCTATGTTTAGACTTGTAAGGAGGGTAAGTAGCCATCACAATCTCCAGCTTCTCTTTATTAAACTGAAGAGCTAACTAGACCAATCCTTGCCCTTCATTTATTTATTTTGACAAAAATAAAATTACAATATTTTTACAATTTTCTTTTGCAAAAGGATACGAAATTGATTCCTCTGGGTAATTAATAACAGCAGAGATTTTAAATGGAGTGTCTGCTGCACGTCCTGATGCCCATATTTTGTTGGCGTCTTGCAAAACGGTTGTAACTGTAGAGCAGATATTAATTGAAACATATAATGTTAGAAATATATTTATCTATTACTAACAATATACTCTATTCCATTGTAACTAGATATAAATAATACACAAGACAAAAGAAAATAATTATTAAAACAGTGTTGAATAACTCAATTTATTACCATTTCTGTCAGTGTAGTTTCTAAAAATTGTGGCTAAGGAATATGTATCAGCATATGGACTCAGAGGGTTTACTAAAGTATCCTGAAATGCATTTTTGATTTTTAAATTGATAAGAATTATACAGAATTTTAAAATACATTAGATTTAGAGTAGTTTTATGACATGAAAGTGATCACAAGCTACTGTTATATTGTGGAACATTATTTATACAATACAACTTTTTTTAAATTATAATTATTTCAATTAACAATAATTAATGCAAACTTTTAAAATGAGGGCCAATCCTCCAGAGAGTGGTAAATATTTTTTTTGCAACCAAAATGCAACATAAGGATGCATCCCTACTTACAAAGAATATAATTTAAAAACTATATTTAATCTAAATAGTAAACCTCTTTGAACTTACATTAAATCTAACATCTGTTCCCCTATGTCCCAGCAGCTGCTTTTGTCTCATTCTTAGATCCCCAAACACATGGAGACTAGCACCAGGAATACAAGAAGTGTATTCAATATAGCCTAGTGACTCCATGTGAAATTGAGAAAACTTCTGTTCAGTTTGAGAAAAAATATGATCATTGAATAATAATAAATTAACTAGTATAAAATAGAGCTATAAAACTACAAACATAAGATTAAAACATGAAATGCGGTCTGCTTTTTTTAAAATAACAAATGCTAAAGAATAAAAGTTGTAAACTAGAAGATAACCACTTCCAGAAATGTTAGCTGTATTATTTACACTTGAATAAACTCTATATCAAATTTTAAGAAGTATTTTTAATGTTAAAAGATTCATTTTGAAAGGTAACTTTTTTTACCCTTAATCTGTAATAAAAAAATAATAGAAGTTTTGTTCCAACAACTTGATCCTCTCCAGCCATTGGTATCTCAAGGTCCAGGTTCAAACGGTCATACTTTCCATCACCATTAAGATCATCTTCTCTTGCCTGTTGATTTATTCAATAAATATTGGTAAAAGTAAATCATTATTTTAACTAATCTGAATTTTTTTAAAAACTAAAAAAAGATGTGGCATGGCAAATACCTTTACTATTGGAATTCTTAGCTGTGATTGCAGAAGCTGGTTGTACTGTTGAAAGGTACTATAAACAATCGTCTTAGGTCCATTCTGAAGATCCAAAAGCAAAATAAGTTCTTTCTTAAAAGCAATATTAGGTTGTTCCCTATATGTTGCTTCTCGTAACCAAAATCCTGTGAAAGATAAAAATGATATCTTTATATCAAAATGTATAGGCCTATTTGAAGTATTGTGTGCTCCACATAATCAGATATGGCAGGAAACAGATTGGTACCGCAAAATGCATATTCGGTCTTCGCCGTTCATAAACTTTCTAACCAGACATCGTTCGGGGATTTTGTTTATACTGATATATAGAGCAAGGTTTTTACAAGCTTCGTTAGCAACATTTTTGTGGAATTCGTTTTTTATGACATTTTGTGCCGCGGCGAAGGATGCGAAGTATGCAAATCTAGACGGAATGGATCTACTTGGAAAGTACGTGTACTGCACTAATGAGGTAAGAAATAATATTTTGCAAAAATAACTATTATTTTTTTATGGATTTTTCATTAGAAATGATTGCTGTAAATTATGAAAGTAAAAAAAAGTATATTTGAATGCGTTTTTTACTTTAATTTGAACAAAATGACTGCCAAAAATTACGACACATCGGCGTCGCTGAAAGCGGGAATTTCAGTTAATTTTTTACGGATATAAAATTGTATTTTTTTACTCCGAAGCATGTATTTAAATAACAGTTAAGTTAAATCTATTTAATTCTGTAAAATATAATTATTATTTTGCCGTAGATACTTTTTTTTATATTTTTAATGATTTTCTGTCGCGGAAAATCGGTATTCGCACCATGCACGCACACGTAGTAAAACTAGACTTATCTTTAAAACACGAGAATCTTGAGCACACTGCGAATAACAAAGTTTTTAAATTTTAGTTTACTTTTGACTTTAAGCCATTTGTTTTAAATCGAAATTAATTGATAATGTAATTATTTCAAAGTAAAAATTTTCCGTCGCAAATTGGGTTCTAACCTTCGCCACTGAACCAGCCTACGCACGACATTCGCGCGAGTCTGTTTCTTCGCAATAGTCTGTATAGTGTCGAGGGCTAATTCTAAAAAGAATCGAGTCCTTACTAATCTAATGTTTATTAAAATTAGGTACAATTGTTGGAACGCATGAGAAATAACAAATTAATATTTCTTTAAATCTATAGCCAAAAGAAAGTAGAACTTTATAACTCTGTAAATTATGAATCGAGTGACGGCTGTCGTGAAAACGGGAGCCATTTTACTCTTTTTTTTAGGGTGACCTACTTTTATTATATAATTTTAAAATTCATCGATTTGATAAGCAGCTGAGTAGATGACTACGCATGCGATATGGCTGGCACGTTTTGGGATAGGGATCGAGTACACCATAGAATTTTTTTTCTTAGAACTAAGCGTATTTTTTTTTTAAATCAAAAGATACTTACATATCAGTTGTTGATTTCAATTTCATTATAGATCTAATCACTAACTTCAGTTTTTAAAAGTGATTTTGCTTCTAGAACTAGCGTATTTTCAAAATTACGTAGATTCTAAATCTAGATCTATTCACTTACTATTTGACAACCGTGTCAGTAAAATGAGGTCACCGCTTCCAGATTCTTAGGTTTTAATTATGTTTGTCATTTTGATCTATTATAAGTAGCATTAAAACAACTGCATCTATTATCAACATTGTTTTTATATGCCAGTTCTAATTATACATTCTGTTCATTACCAATTCTAATGAAATCGTATCAGGCCCTAACACCCTGTTCACCTACACTGACACTACACTTGAATGACGCCACAGACAGTCGTAACTTTAAATTAATGTTCAAAGTACTAAACAATTATAATTAGCCATGTAAATGCTGCAACTATATTAAAAATTGGCATATAGACATATTTTATTAATTATGTTTTTTATATAGACCTTCTATATTTAACTCTATTTTTTTCTTCCCCAGAGTGTTTCTAAAAGCCAGAATTTTAAAGGGGAGGGCGGTCGTTTTTTTTCTCAAGAATAATTATAGAAATAAGCTATAAACTGGTATATTTTGTAAAGTTTGACATAATTACAAATAAATGTATGCCTAAGTGACATTTCTGTGTAATTATATCGTTAATTTTGTGAATTTCGTGGATTTTTGGACCTCACTACATTTAGATGTAAAAAAAAATCTCAGTTGAGTGAGTGTGGTTAATCTACATTTTGAACGTGATGTAAATGTCTAGTGCTATTAATTTTTATATTTTTGAATTCCTCGATTGTTAAGCAACAAAATTGATATATAATATGTCAATATTTGTTACTTTGAAAATTGGCGAAAATCGACCCTAAAAGTAGATGCTTGAGGGTTGAATCTGTTTCCTGCCATATAAGAAATATTATAAATAGGCTAATTGTTGATGCTTCCTAAATATAAAATGCTCATTTTGCAATGGCAATGCCTGAAACAGAGAAGTATCAGTCAATAAAAATTTCTTATAGGCCCAAACAATAACTTGTACAGTGTACAGTCTCACAGAAGTATTTGTATCAATTAAAAAGATAGCCTATATGTTTGATATGTTTTAGGAAAATTGGGTCTAAGAATTTTGAGCACTTGGATTGATACAAAACTTTTATTTAATGGACAAAAACGGAAATTTTCTCATAAGCACTTGCTCAGTGCTCACAATTAATTATTAAATTCATGATTAAACTTGCTTATTATTGGAATTTCCTCATGACACATTTAAAATGCTTTTTAAATTAAAGAAAACCCGTAATAACTAACCATAGCTTCTATAGACAATGATTAACGGTGGAATGAATGTGATAATCAGTATCAGAAACATAAAAAGCGACGCTTTAGATACAATAGACGTTTTGTATCGCCGTAACTCAGGATGAGAAAATATCTCGTATATCGCCATTTTTAAACAAAACAGTTTCGCAGCAAAGTTTTAAAGAAACCGCAGTCATGCAAAATACACCGACATATTTTTTAAATCTAGAAAACTACATTTTGTTAGCCTATTTGTCCAATTATATTACCATATTTTCAGTTATGTTTGTTACGTGTGGTTCTAATAATTATATATATAGGCCTAAAGCCTATGCCATATATATATATATATATATATATATATATATATATATATATATATATATATATATATATATATATATATATATGTGTGTGTGTGTGTGGAGTTTTAAATATACGCATTATTTTCTTTAATAAGAGTTAAGGAAAACGTAGTCCTATCACTAGGCCTATTAGACTTTTTAGTAGATTTTTTACACTATAAAGAATGGTCTTTGTGGTGTCATTTTAGGACAGACCTAAAGTTGTGTCTAAGCATACTTTAACATAGATTTCTCTAGATCTAGTTCAAACTTACTTAATTGGACAGCCACACGACTAAGTAAGACAAATATAATAGATATTTTAAGCTTACATAATAAAATAGTAAAAATAGAAATAGGCCAAAATAATATTATAATACTACTAATTACTATAGTATAGGCCTAAATCACTTCATCAGTAAGTTAAAATACTGTTTAATAATGGTAATGATAAACATAAAAAATCATTAAGCTGTACATTTATGTCTTAAAACTTAAAAAGCTTTATTTTGATAATAAGTTTAGACAATAAGTTTTGGCAATATGTACTCTGCTGACTTCAGGCATGTTTTGGCAATTAGATCTAGAATCTAGATTCTATACAATTTAAAATGGCCTCTAGTTGTCGGATGATAAACCGCAGATTAGCCAAGTTTTTTTCGACTAAGTACTTGACTTCGTCTTGCGGTTAGTTAATTATTTGATTTTAGTTTGGTGTAGCCGTTTTCATTTTCGGAGATGTACATTTAGCCTTGCACTATGTGCTCTACATTAAAAATTGAACATTTTTAATTTACTTTAAAAATTTTTTAGTCTTAGATTTTATTTTTACGAAGTGACTACGCGGATCGTCGATCGTTCAGAGTATTATTTGAATTCCGTAGGACGCATTCTAAAATTTTGGGATTTGCCATCTTCTGATTAAAAAAGCTTAATATTTCGTTTGCAAGCACATCTGGTGTGGTAGAGTCAACAGTGGACCTCCAAGTTCGAACAGGAGAGAAGATTTAACAGAAAGCAGAGCGATCCGCACAAATGCAGCCTTATTTTAATATTTTTAGTAGGCACACGAGGCCTAATTTTATTCACTGCTTCATGTTAACATGATCTATTATAAACACATTCGATAGGGCCTACATGCAAAAACAATGGATAATCTAGATCTAGAGTGAAGTTCCACAGCCGATCACACATATCGGAAAATTACGAACTCTTAACTTTCATCGGGCTCTATTTTGTAACCGTTTCACACAGAAACAAACCCAAAGTACTATGTTACTCCGCTGCCATTCTGCTCTAATATGTATGGTCATTTTGTTTTCCTATGTAGGCCTATAGATTGAGATATTCATGTTTTAGTGGCATCACTACTTGCGATCTTTTTTTTCCTGCAGCCGCCTGCACCGGCTATAGTAATGATCATATTTTATACGCTTAATACAATTTTAATAACTAAAATAAATATTTTACACTTTTAATCGTGTTATTAATTCTATTATTAATTAATAGATCGCAAAACCAAATAAAAAACATGTTAATTAAATTTAGTAATGACACATTAAAGGTATGACTCAAGGGACGCAACTATAATAATCATAACACAAGGGACGTAACAATCAATAACAAGACATAACATAACATTTGTGTAGACATTCTTGTATGTAGGGACACAAACTAGAGAAGTAAATGATCAAAATAATTTAAAACAACAGAAAAAATATATAGATTCAATTACCAATAGAACTTTTAAAATATCAACGTAGTTGGTACAAAAGTAAGTGAAAGCATTATTAGGTGAAGCATTATTAGGTTTATCAGTCTATGAAAAAAGAAATCAAATATTGTGAGCTGTTTTTTTATAAGACCGGCGCTCTTATCACAACCTATTTTATTTTTTAAAAACCATCCGACCCCTATTTGGTTGATCACTAGAGGAACTCTGGTGCATTAATTTATTATGACACTTAACTTTAAATTATTGAAGTTGTATATAACCTACTTAGAAGTGTTACTATTTTTATGTATTTAAATATTATTGTTACTTAGAACAAGATTTATCAGGACAGTAACTTGGTCTATAATCTAATAGATTGCACTATAAAATTGTTGATTTGTAGGCCTTTACTAATACGTTATTAATTTATTTGCAAAGAATTCCTACTGACCTCATTATTTTTAAAGAAGAAAGAAATGAAAAGGGGATCTCTATTTATGATTGCTTATTACATAATTCACACACATTGACTACTTTTTAAATATGTGTATTATTTACATAATTTCCCTGTTTGGTTTATTTAAAACTGAGTAGTATTTTAAATTGCTGTATATCACAAATAAAACTTGTGGAAATCTGAAACTTGCAAAAAAAAAATTACATTTTGAAGCAATCATAAATTTAATCTTCCTTTACTTTCTCTTTCTATTTGCCAGAATAAACCTGTCAAGATTGAATTAGTTGAAATATAGTTCAAAGTTTTAAAATGTGGGCACCAGAGAGCACTGAGCTACAGCCACCAGTTATTGAAAAGATTGGCGATCCAGATAAACTCCTTGCTAGAATTATAGAATGCATCGAGGAAAAAGATTCCCTGTCACTAAAGACTTACATACTAGAGCACAAACTGAAAGAGGAGAGTATTTTCTGGGATCTGATCCTGAAAATTGGAGCATGTGTAACCTCTGAGAACAATGAGAGCAATCAAGGCTTTTTTGACATTTGCAATAGATGTCTGCTTTACTTGGTCAAAGTTGGCAACCCTAAAGAAATACTGCTGGCACTACTGGAACAAGTGGACAACTTCATAGATGATGTCAAGTTTAGATGTTTTCTTCCTCTCATTCAGACAACGCTTCTAAGAATTCCAACAAAGCTGTTTCATTCTTTAGACATCGCCTTGGAAACTGTGTCAGCTCACCTGAGGTCATTACCTGTGCCTGAAAATGTACAGTTGGAGGGGGAAGAGATTAAATTATTCCACGCCGATAAAACTGTAGTTCGTCTGTCTACAATATTAGAATCATTCCTGGAATTTCTTGAGCCTTTTATTAACAGGGTTGATATTCTATCTGAAAACTTTACAAAAACGTCCAGACAGGAAAGCTTAGTTTTGAAGAAACACTTGATTCGTGTGTTTGATCATCCCCTGTGCTACCTTGTTCTGACATACAACACAGAACATGACAAGGCCCAGTCAGATAGTCGACAGTGTGCAGAGCTGGCAGTGAAGCTGCTCTGTAGGCTAGAAACAGATTTCCACAGGTTTATTAGGAATGCAAAGCTTCAGGCAAAACAGGCTAATAGCCATGTAAAGAATAAATTGCTGGATGTTGAAGAGTTAGACAATTTAGAAAATGAGAGCCTAGCTGCAACGAATACCACCGAAGAAGACATTGCAGATATTGTAGAGACTTGGGATTTTAAAATGGATATCACACCTTTAGCTTATGGGTGTTTAAGTTACCTTATACATGCTGAAAACTTGGGGGTAGATAAGTTTCCTTTTATCTACAGACACCAGTATATGCTGGAATTTCACCTGGATACCATGTCTGTGCTACTGAAGAACACTAACTATCCCATTAACTACAAGGGACTTGTTCTCTGTCAGAAGATGGTTGGGTTAGTGCAGAATGGTGCAATGTCTTCAGAAAGTCTGGACAATCCAGGGTTTATGCTTGTTATCAATGATTTAATTGACATCATGATCAAATGTCCTGTAAGAGATCACAGGACTTTGGCCACCCACAACTTTCCCATGTTGATCAAGAAGTTTGACTGTGGTGGGCGCTACCAAATCTACCTTAATATTCTGTCTTCTTGTTCACATTCCGGTCTGAAAGGGTATCTCATTACCTTTATAAAAAATGACATCAGTGAAACTATTAAAGAGTTGAAGCAGATGTCACAGGACCTTAAATCGTCTTCACTACCTGAGAAGGAATCATTCTTTGTTGGCAAAAGGCTGCATAGAATTTTGAAACTGGCACTAGCTTTACCAGAGAAAGAAACCACTGATATGCTTGAAAACTCCGACCAGATCATATCTTGTCTGAACATGCTTCGATTTATCATCCTGGCAGATCCAAAAGCTCTGAATAGCACTGGGTTTTGGGACTTTTTGCCTCAGATAGAAAAAGATTTCCTTGCTCCACTTAGATTAGGCTTAGATCTAAGCAAAGCTCATTACAAGCTTGAACAAGAAAACCTCCAGCAAGGGAAGGACTCTGATGTTTTTGGTCATAAGGGCACAGAGTTGTCTTTGTCTGTCAGTGGAATGAATTTGCCAGAAATGAACAAGAAAGAAAAGCTAGAGCTCATTGGGAAAGCTCTGAATACACATTATGTAATGCATAGTCTTGTGTGTCGTGTCTCAGAGCTTGTGGATTTACACAAATAAAAACACTTTACTGTTGTTTTGTCATTTTGCATTTATTTGAAGGGGTTTCGCTACAAATGTTTCTGTTTTGCTTGTGATTCATTATCCTGTTTTGAAATAACTTTCTTAAGCTAGTATCCATTATAATATTACAACCTATTACTTACATAAGTATGATCATTTTTAATATAAAGAAGGATGATAATAATTTGTAACTTAATAAAGAAGTGAAAATGTAATATTGGTACTAGGTTTTATAAGTTTACATTGTACAAGTTACTCAATTTAAGTTGTTAAAAAGTATTAAACTTCTTTCCTTTGGTCAATAGGTTTTGTTTTTATTTCCCATATTTTGTATTGCTGTTGATTGATAGATGTGGTTGTTATATCTATCTGTGTTAGCTATTAGTAAGAATAATTCTGCTGATGGATTAGAAATTAATATTTCTAAAACTAGCTTTAAAAATATCTATTTTAAAATGTAACCCAATAACTAATAACAAATGTGCATAAGTCTTTATTCACCTCAATAATACAAAAATCTTCACATGTTCTGCAGCAATGCAAAAAGTTAAGATTTTTATTAGAGAAGCTGGGGAATCATGAAAACACCAGATGGAATTATTCTAACACACCCAAAAACAGTCTTTTTCACTCTGGAAAAAATACTAACTTCCAAATACTTTAGAATAACAATAAAGAGAACTAAAAAATGAAATCAAATGAATGTAACATCAATGGACAAAAGGACTAAGGTTTGAAATTACTTCTAGAAGAACTTAAAATAAATCAAACATTTGAACAAGTGATTCATGGGGGAGAATAGTTTTCTTACCCATATGAATCTCAGGGAAAAGCAATGCACCATTGCATAGTGAATACTAAATGAGATACCTTTGAATTTGACAGCTGTACATGTGAAAATGTGTTTTCATCTCTTAAAAGCCTAAGCATGTATTGAAATACAATACTAGCTTCAGTTGATGATCATGGCATGATTTGCAATTAATTTTATCGTAATCTCAGGCTTTTTTACTGCAAGGGTGCAGATCTTCACCAGCATTTGAACTTTTTTAGACCTTTGATCTTAATTCATCAAATTTACTTCCTTGTGACTTTTTTTTATTACTATCAAACGTGAAGTTTTATTTTTAAAAATTCTCAAACAAGAAACAAATGATGTTCCAGCCTGGGATATTTATTGAAATAAATAACTACTGATTTTCCTTTCTTAAATGCAGAGTCAACCTTACTTTCCCCTAATCTTTTTCCTCGCTAGGCTCACCCTGCATACTCAACTGGAACTTTAATACAATTGTGATTCATAGTGAACTTATTTTTTTACAGGAGCTTCATGGAGCACTCAAACTTTCTTCAGACGCACTTTTGTTGTCTCAGCTTACAGGAGATCAAACGATGAAGGAAAGTCAGATGCTGAATCATCACAAAGGTAGTTGCCAAATCTTCAATTTTTTGTTTTTTACAAGGCCCATCTAAACTTTCAAGCAATCTAACCTTTTGGTATAACTATTATTCCTGTAGTGAAAGCTCCGACCAGTCATCCAATGAAGCAGAATATGAACATTCGATAAGGCAGAGAATCCTGAGTGCCTCTTTACACCATGTTCATGAGTTTGGCTGGACAAAGAAAGCTTTGGAAGCAGGTACTGTCGAAAAGTTTCTTAGTGGGATCATTTCACATGCTTATTTATTCTTTCTTAGTAGGACAGTTAGTTAAAGTTAATGGAAGCTTTGACTTTTCTTATCTTACCCACAGACTTTTAAGCAAAATTCTTAAGGGAATTAATTTTGGTTGCAAGTTTGATGAGAATTAAAATAATGTGTTTATTGAAACTTATTTTTCTAACAAAAAAGTAAAAATAAATAACATTTTTACAGATTGTAGAACTACTGCACTACTTAGCATTTTAGTTGTTTGATCAATTTTTTTAAAAATTCACTTTCGTGTCTTGAATGGAAATGTATCATTGCATTTAATAAACAGTTGCATTTTTTCCATTGCTTCAACTATACTTTTGCAATGTTGGTCACTTACATGTCTCATTTGTATTTCTTCTTCATTTTCTTTACTGCTGTCTTTTTAATTACATCGTCTTCTTACTGTTTGGGTGGTAATGAGCTACAGAGTTAATAGATCATTATGGAAGATCACGCTATAAAACAGATACATGGGAATGTTTGGGTCAGACTGGGAAAGATGGAAAAGTTAATTAGCCGAAGTATGATTGCTATGCTTTTAAGATGTACAGAACATGTTTATGAAAACATCCTAATATTGTACAAAAATATTTATATTTCACAAGCGAATTCAATGATGCACTTAAAATATAGCTTATTGAATACATAATATTGAATACAAAGTTAATCATAGGCCCCATGTCTAATTAGTTCTACTTTATCATACTAACATAAAATGCAACCCTCATTTAAATAGAAGTAAAGAGGTAAAGGCAAAACAGAAATTACATTAGTTTAACTATCATTTTTTTGGGCATTGATTTCTAACTTGCATTCTTCTCCTCACACTCATGTCATGGAGTCCTTAATAGTACACATTGAAGTTAACCATTTGTCAGACAAATAGCAGCATATTTTAATGATTTAATTTTTACTTCATTCCTTCAATTTTTAGGTGCTCGAGATGAAGGGTTGCCTTCAGTCGCTCATGGAATGTTTCCAAAAGGGGGTGTTGAACTGATTAACTATTTCTATGTAACAAATAACACAAAGCTAGGGGAGTTTCTTAAAAAGGAGGTTGAGAATGCTAAAGCTGAGGGTCTAGAGTAAGTATTAGTTTTATTTGTTACTTTTGATAGTGGCATAAAAAAGTGTTTATTTTTCTAAAGAAAAAACTAAAATCAACCATTTTATGTGTACTCATAATCAGAATATACAAAATTGTTTTAACATAAGTAATAATTTATTTACATAATATAGAGTAGCAACTTATCCTTAAATACATTTCCTGTTTATTTAAAACTTGTAGTTTTAAGTTTTTTTATTTTGTTTGCAGAAAGCCAAAAACAAAACCATTGATTAGGGATGGCATTGAGTTCAGGTTAAGGTTGATTGTTCCATATCTGGATCATTGGCCTCAGGTAAATTTGACTTTATGCTGTGTTTTGTGCTTTAATTTTAGCATGACTCATGAGTTGATTGTGATTCTATACACTCTTCTGTGTGAGGTGAATCAGTTAACATTATTTATTTAGTATATTTACTTTTTAGGCAATGGCAATTCAAGCTTTACCTCAAAATGCTGTTGAATCTTGGAAAAATCTTTTGAATCTATCTGATGAGATCTGGTATTATGCTGGAGACCGCTCTGTTGATGTATGTTGCTTTTAATGATGTGATATTAATGTCAATTAATATAGCAAAACACAAATTTTAAGTTATTTTCAGTTTTTTCTAAATGAAGAAAGCCTATTATGAATTTTATATTTTATTTCAGTATAACTGGTATACTAAGCGTTTGGCATTAGCTGGGGTCTATAAAACGTCAGAAATTTACATGCTTCAAGACAAATCAGAAGATCTGAAAGAAACATGGTCGTTCCTGGATCGAAGACTCAGTGAATTACAGAAGTTTGGTGCTGCCAAGAAACAGGTATAGATTTTTTCCTAACAATTTATGCAATTGTGTGGCAAATTATTGATTAATTTTTTTTAATATTCATAGAATCATATAAAATCTTTTCATTTTGAATTAATATGAAAGCACATAGATCTGGTTTTTTAAAAATATATATTGAAGTAACATTGGAGACAGATTTTTAAAAATTTTAAATTAATGTTAGGCATTCTATTAGATTTATTTAATTTTGAATGGAATCTTTATTTAACATCCTCATGAAATTCTGGGGTTGGTTTTCATATATTTCTCTAATATTGTTTGCATACCTGACTTGAGTTAGCCATGATGTTCATTATCATTGTGTTACATGGCTAAATGTCCTCTCTCCTTCATCTAATTTATAAAAAATGTAAATTGTAGATGCTTCAATCCATGTCAATAACCTGGTATTAGTTCTCTGTATTACATAAGTAACCCGATGTTCATATTCTTTGGATACAGGAACAAATGTATAGTGCGTACATATTATATATTTTTCTTAAGCCAAATTAAATTGTCCAGGAACTATAGGCCTATAAAAAATGCTGAAAATGGTTGTATTAAAAATTCAACATTGAGATTTTTAACAAATAAATTACATCTGTGATTTTTAATTATTTATTTTCTTTGTTAATAATTGTATCCTTGATTTTAAAGCAATAATTTTTTTTACACATTTTTTAATCTCAAAACTTACTTATTGTTATTTGGTTTTGCTCTGTGACAGTAATTAATACAAATGTAACATACATTCTAACAGTTTTCTTCTTTTTAATATCTGTGTTACAAAAGAGCATCATAATTGGAATACCAATTTTTTCCCTTTTTCAGTGTGAACAAAGCTCAGATATTCTTAAAGAAGCTTTGACTGGGATGTACATTACAGTAAGTTATTTTACTTTAGTTCTTATAGGTTAAAGCAGCTTTATGCTTTTTAAATGTGCTCTGCATGTCACATTACTAATTTTTTTTCAGAATTAAAAAAAAAATTAGTCATTGAGATTTTGTCTAGTATATAAATATTTTGCATTATCCACCATTTTAACAGTTTTTTCTTTTTAAAAATATTTTGAAGGAAACATATTTTTGTAATAAACTGCTGCAAATTTATTTTTGTGTATTTTATTTAAAATACATTTAAGATCCTTCTTTTATTATTTCAATAACATTAACTTTTTTCTTTTTTTAGGGACGCAATATTTTAGGAATGAATTCAAGAAACAGATGAAATGTATTGCATTTTGATAACTGTATGGAAGTAACAGTTATGTACACAGCAATATTGTCAAACATTACTGTGATCTTTAATTTGCTCACATAGCCCCTAAATTGATAAAATTAAATGTAGGTTTAACAAAAAATAGTTTCGAATAGTATTTTTTGTTGCAAAGATTATAAAAAAGGATTCATGGATATTTTTTTAAGTTACTTGGTAAAAATCTTTTAGTTGAACCCAAGACTTGTCTCAGGAAAATTGTATAATCAGATCTAAATGTAGTCTGGTAAAGTCAGTATAAAATACCACTTTAGCTTTAGTTTAAATAATCATTTTAATAACTGCATTGTTTTTTTCTCTAAGTAAGCAGTTTAATATATTTTATTTTATTTGTGTGAACTTACAACTAAAATAAAAGATTGTTTTTGCAAAGAAATGTTTCTTCTTATAATTTATATTTATTACACCGCAATATGTATACTGTATAGGTCTAGAAAAAAAAACTTTGCCATAGGTTAATTTTATCAGAACCTTATGGGGGGGAGGGGGGTGAGCTACCCACTTACTGCATATTTTTATTTCTAGACGTGTATAGTATACAAGTGTAAATGCGGTTTTAGATTGAATTTTTTGCTCTGAACAGTGAAAAATTAACTTATAGGCTTTGAAGTTTTTATCTCAATCTGTATACTGTATCACAAAGCCCATCTTAATATTCAAAAGTATTTTATTGTAATAATCTAAAATCTTTGTGTACTTTAACAGTTATAAATATGGGCACTATTTGTTGTACAAAATGATCACAGGCCAAAAGGAAAACTGTCCATTTTTACTAAAGTAGCATTTGTGCTTCATAAATTAAGGCTTTGTACTGGTACATTTTCAAGCATTTTTAAGAGCAATGGTGAGTTTTGAGTCCTCTCACTATAGTTACAAAAAAGTATTTGTGTAGTTCACCATTACTCTTTTAAAACCTTGTCTGTTAAATATTGCATGCTATCTCAGCCTATGTCAAGCTGCATAAATACTTAATTACAAGTTGCTATGGTTTACACAAGTGTTTCTTTTTTAACATGTTAACTTTGCAGTATGTTATTGGTATCCCGTGGTCGAGTCAGTAAAGCTCATGGTTGCTAAACCGAAAAGTCTCGAGTTCGAACCCTCAGACAGATGAGGCTCGTTAGCTGGGGACAGCCACTCTTCTAGGAGAGACAACTCCAAAAATTAAACAACTGCTGCCTTGTAGTTTGTTCTTGGTTGGACAAAGGCTATGGAAGCAAATCCAAAAAGAAAAGCAGGCTGAAATCGGAGTCAATGGCCTCAATGGCGCTTAACCAGTGGACACGTAATGCTTAATTGTGTTGAAGGCGTGGTCGAGTCCGCAAAAAGCTCATGGTTGATAAATTCGAACAAAGTCTCGAGTTCAAACTCACTGGCAGATAAATCTCGATCCCCTTCAACACTAATAATTAAGAACGAAGAAAAAGAAGATTGGTATCCCTAACCAAATACAGTCCTCTTGCCAGAACCTGTTCCAGTTTGTGTCAAAGTCTTAGTTTAAAATTAAGACTATCAAAGTGTTAAGTGGCTTTATACTTGTTTCCGCATCAACCTTACATAACAGGAGTTTAAAGGAATAATACAAAACACTAATAAAAAAATTGTGTAGCAATCAATATTGTACCATTTTATTTTTTATCATGTCATGTAACATGTCAAGTGTCCATAAGTATCAGAAGCTCTCATTCAATGTAAGAAATTATTTTGTCCAAACATGTTCCATTGTCTTAACCATGAGTAAAATTGTTACCTCTTTATGATAATTAGTGTAGAAAATCTGATGTTTCCAAACTCTTAATACCAAAAAATTGGTTTTAAAAATCTAAACCACGTGTCTACAACATTGTGAAAAAAGAAACAGGACAAATAGCATAATTAATGAAACAATAGAGAAGCAGAAGACACGGTGAAGGCTAAACACTGTGAACATTGATGACAGACATTTAAACAACTTGATGCAACAACAGAGAGGGCTGTTTTTTTTTTAAATATCACTTTTCAGGCACTAACATCACCTTTAAAAAAAAAACAAATTCCAAATTTAAAGATATTGCTTAATATTTGAACGGTTATGCAATTATTAAGAAAGCTCACAAATTAGATTTTTTAAATCTCTATAATGTTTGAAAAAAGTGATTCTCAAGTTTAACTCGAAATATTTTTTATTAAATATGTACATAAAACTACTTAACGGCTAAAATGTAGCTAATAGTAATACAACAGTCACAAACAAAAGTTGCTTATTTTAGTAGACACTGGTCTCTAAGGGAACCATAGATGTATAAGTTGCTTGTAAACTTTTTAAGTTAAGAAATAAAACTTTTTTCCATTAAGCAAAAAAGAATTCTTAAAATAATTTTAAATATGTACTTTAAAATAATCCTCAACAAGATGTATTTTATTCTAATTTACGTAGGTAAAAAAAAAATTTAACTAGATATCTATATTCTAAATGGTTTTGTTATTATTTAGTGCCAATTTTAACTTTCAATAGTAATTAAAATACCTTTTGAGAAATTCAAATGGATTTCAATTTAATACCTGTGTAACTTATGGATAGAATATAGATTACGACTACAATCAAAATGTCTATTATAAGTTGTTTTTATAAAAGATTGGGCCTTTTGTAAAAACTAGAAATACCAATAATCAAGTTTTTTTGTAAAATTAAATACGTAACTTGAACTTATCGCTATGACAAAAAATAGAAAGGTTGAAAATTAAAATATGCAGAATATTTTGCACCAATATTGTGAAACATTTTAAATTTTACATTATTAAAATAACTATCACATCACTTTTGGTTAAGCAATAAGAAAAAAGGACATTTTCACATCAAAGGAGGTAACAATTACAAAATATGCCATACACAAAATTTTAGTTTACATTTTCATTGCAGGTTAATATATAATTATATTCTAAAATATAAATCACTTATTTTCACTCAGTAAAAAATAAAATGTAAAAACAAGCATTACTTTCTCAACAATATTCTAAGACACTGAAAATTGCAAACATGATTGTATTTTATGGAGGGAAGAAGAAAGTTGAATAAAGTAAGTTCAACGAGATGAGTACCCTATGTGAGCTTCCAATATTTACACATTTCTAAAATATTACCAAAACAACTAAAACATGCATGTAAATCAGTTATACAACCGGGACCAATTACTCTTATTTAGTTGCGCTTTATCAAATATGCTAAAAATTTAGAAATTTAAAAAGATAAAGAATTTCAACAAAAATAAAGGCAATGAGTTACTTTTTAAAATGCTCTATATCTTACAAAAGAACCGGTTGATTTCATAACAAGACATAAGGGCTGAAAAAAAAAAAAGATTTTGAGTATGTTATTCTTTCATTATCAACTGATTTTTGAAAGGCAAATGACAAATATCCTAATGAAATTAATTGCCTGACAACACCCATTCATATCTTGCTGCCAAGTTAAAATGCAATATACCTAAAATAAATACATTTCAGTTTTGTAAACAATAACATTTATAGTGTAGTCACTTTAGACTAAACTTTTTTTTTATATGCCTACATTGCTTGATATGAAAATTCAGGTTTGACATACAGAAGAAACACAAGGTCTAAAGTGAAGCCATTTAAATTTTAATTATGCACATCTATATTATTTGGTTTTGTTACTCTGACCTATAATTATGCTTGTATACTTGTTTCTAGCACAAAATGAACTTTCAAGTTTTTTCAAAATTAGCTTTTCACAAAAATACATGCGATTTTTTAATGCTTAATGATTAATATGCTGTCTGAAAAAAATGCAACTTGCGGTATAATTAAAAAACATAATATATTTTAGTAATGTCAAGCATAATGTTACTGTGTAAAGTTTCTGATAAATGACTTTGTAAAAAGGCTACAAAACAATTAAGGCAGCTTTCACAAAAAGCAATGTCATGTGAAATTTTTTTTGTTCTTTATTTTAAGGAGGGATGTTTTATTAGAATGCAAATTTGGTAGGGCATGAATAAAGCATTATCTATTGGTAACTTTAAACTCATAATTGAAAGTAAAAGCCAATCATAGCTCCAGAAGTGTTATGCTTAATAATAACTAGAAACGCTAAAGAAAGATGTCTGAGGAAAACAGTGGTCACTATAGGTAATGATACAAACATTCAACCCAACATAAAATAATACAGCATAGCACCAGATCTCACTTAAAGGGCTCACATATCTGTTAGAGGTATAAATTTTGTCAGTAATTACAAAGATTGAAGTGTGCAACCAAGGTTTCATAGTTCAAGCATAAGTTACTATTCAGTAACTCGAAGTGAAAAAATGTATCAAAACTTTTTTTTTTGCAAATGGAGATCACCAGAGAGATATAATAAAACAATGTAATAAACAACATTAGAAATAACTAAATTATTGACTTGGATGAGTGAAAAAAGGTATGAAGGCAGGATTGTTAGGATGAAAAGTAGTGGGAAATGCACTAAGTTTATGTACAAATACAAGGCTGCACATGACTGTATTTTATGTTCAAAATCAATAAATTAAATTTATGGAAATACAAATGTATAAATTATTCACAACATAATAAATACAAGTGTGAAAAAAAAAACATCCACAGTAACTGATAAAATTTAAAATTTGCTAAATATAGTGTGTTCAAACAGCAATAATAATTCAAACTAAATTTTTTTTTTCAAGAGGAAAATTGTGATTAAAATTTGCTGTTAGATTTTAGAAATTTTTAGAATTATTTCAATTTCATTCTAAATTTTAATAAGAAATTAAAATTAAAATTTTTGTTAAATTATGTTTTTAAGCATTGAATATACAGGTACATATTAAAGCATAGTCTTAATTTCTGTTTGCTGCTTAGAAATCACACTATTGAGGGAAATAAATTATGCATACAAATCATTTTGAAGAATATCAACAGTAAATTAAAGTTGCAATCAACTTTAAAAACAGATAAACCATGAAACGTAAACAGAGTCTAAATAATTATAATCATTTTTATCACTGAGCAAACAAAATCATACTCTCTTTAAGTAGGCACATTCATTACAAACGATTTTAACTGTATTATGTTTATTATTTTTACATATTATTTTATCTTTTTTAAATCTCAACATTTTAACTGGGCAGGATAATTTTATAAATTTTCATAAACCAACAACATATAAATCTAAACCATTCTTTTTTGTCAATCTATTAACTCTTTATTTGCAGGAGTTTTTAGAATTGGTATAAAATATGTTAGTATCCTTTCTTTTTTCTTGAATGCTGTTTTTTTTTCTTATATTTTTAGGAGCATACTGTAGATCAAATTTCATAATGTAATGTTAAACCCTTCAACCCTTAGTTTCTTCTACTTTATCTCTTAAAATGGGGGCACTGTTTATTGTCTTAATAATGTTAACATTGTAAATTCTCTGATCAGCCTTTAATCACAAAAAAAAATACAATTGCAATTTGAAAACAGTCAGTATTGTTAAAATTGAAGAGATAGTTTTTCTACAACTACATTATAAAATTTAATTTTTGGGGACTTCAAAAATTTTTAAAACATGATTTAAGGACTTTTATTTTTGGCAAATGAAAAAAGGTATTAAATGCTAAAGAGAAAATAGAGAAAAAATGTTTTAGTGCTTGAGACTTTCTAGGAAGTAGTAGAAGTGGTTTTGGAGTTAAGTATATGTTGCTACTGACATAACCATTTGCAGTAAGTCATTCTATTTTTTTTTGGGTATTGGCAATGATTCTGGGCATGTGACTGAAAGGGTTAAAATTACATTACATATCACTATGAACACTACTACTAGCTTAGTTTACTAGTTTACTGACTAGATTTATTTAAGGTAATCATTTAACATAATCAAAATTTTCCTATTTACGTTTAGCGAATATTGCAAATTTCTAAGCAAAAAAAAAAAAAAAAACCTTGCAGAAAATTCTTGTGTAGTCTGTAACTAAACTATTCAATATCTTCTCATTGAATTGTTATACAATTAGTGTTTACTAAAATATTGCTTAAATCCCTACTAGATTAGCATATTTAAAATAGACTAGACAATTTACAACATTTGTATTAATTGTAGAAATACAAATCGGTTTATATTTAAAGAAAAATAAGTAGGCATTTTTATAATACTTTTACCAAAAAGTCAAAAGCCATTTTTAAAATTGTTGGTTGCATTTTGACAAGTACTATAGTAGACATTGAAAAAATTTATCAGCCTCTCATTTATCATTGCTGTTTCAAATCAATGTTTTCTTTAATTTTCTAAAATTTTGTACTAGAATAATATTCCTGTATTATCAATTAAAGTGGGTATTTACACAAAATGAAACAATGTATAAGAAAAACATATACATATCAACTAAATGTAAGTCAAGCAAGAGCAAAACAGTAACAATTAAGAGGTATAAAAAAGATCACATTTTGGATGTTTTGTTATTAAAAAAATAATTAGTCTAGAAAGTATAATGACAATGCTTTCTATTATGACTCTCTCAAATCTAATTTTGGTACTAATTGGGTGAAGATATAAGTAAGAAAATACTATCTTAAACATTTAATCAAAATATGAAACTACTGTTAGTATTTTTGCAATACAAGTAAACAAATATTCCACAAATTTAACTGTTTAAAAATCTTGCTAGTTTTCCACTAAACATTTTCTAAACTATAAACAAAAACTTGTTCATACAGTAAATTCAAGCTCTTACCATACAGCGTTGTTTAACAAATATAATTCAATAAAAGACAGCACGTAAAAAAATATGCAGAAATCTTATTTCTTAAAAGTGTGCACCTTTTTAATCCCTGACTTAAACAAAAGATGTATTGCATACATGTATTTTGAGGCAAGAAAGAAAAAACAGTAGTTGAACAATACATATTTACCACTGAAATAATACAATATGAGCTATCACACTTTATTACCTAAAGTATCCTTTAAAAGTATGACGTAACACAGGGTCATTTTTCTTCTACAAAAATATCAAGCATAAGAACAGTAGTTAAGGCAGCAAATAAATCACACATCAAATTTTAAAAATTAAACTGCAAAATGTTAACAACATGAAAACTGATCTAAAAGTAGAAAAGGTGGGCAGATGAAGATTTTGATGAAATGAACACAATCTCTTTTACACATTGAACATAAAAAAAAAATTAAAGATCTTCAGTATTGATTTTCTTCAATCCAACCTTTGAGAGTAGTTGGCAACGGCAACTGTTGAATATGATCATATCTTGTATATTGCCGAATGACAAAACGACATAAATATTGTAATGATCGCACCTGTGTAAATCTTGAGACAGGTTTTGTCAGACGTACTGGATACTGCGGAGCACCGGGTGAACGGGATCTAGAGTAGTAGAATATCCCAGTTTGTGAGTCATTCATCGAATGTTCAATCAAGTCTACAATGGAGGGATACCCCTCTGTGTCTGGCTGTGCATAGAAACTAAACATTCCATTGCAATGTTCAATACGAGTATGCAAAGTGCGGCCATAGGAACGAAATGAGAGACTTAAGAGATAGCGTTCGTCTGAGCTGTCACGAACTAGAAACGCACCATCTGGCTGGTTTGTTAATTTATCTTCTGCTTCATTGCGAGTTATGGGACCCCAATACCAACCAAACTTTGATAACCTAAACAATTCTTGAGTCAAACTCCATACTTTTGGACTCCATATTTTAGTTTGTTCTTTTATAGGATCATACTCAACACAATCTGCCAATTCATAGACAGGTTCAGAATTTGAATTATTATCTTCTTCACTATTTTTGTTGTAACTATCCATAACATCAGAAATTGTATCATCCTGTGTATACTCATCACATTGTGATGATGCAGCAGGATTAAATCTAGAAATATCTTTTGATATGCAACCTGGTTTATCTTTAGGTACTTCCAAATCAAAATGGTCTGTGTTGGAATGCCATTCATTAAATTTTGCTGGGGACATGTATATTTTTAATGGAGAGTTCAAATTATCACAACTTTGAGAGACAGAGCTAGAACGAGATTCACAATCACGAGGCTGCAGATTTCTCTCTTTTAACCTTGAACTATTCATATTAGCTGTAATATTTTGGAACTGGATATCCCCTATGTGCCCATTGCACTCTGCCCCTTCTGATTTTCTAATTGAAAACGATGAAAATTTCCTTCTAAGGTTTCGAAAAAGACCCATTCTTTCCCTTTTCCTATGATTGGATTCTTCAGATATTAGTGTGGCTGAGCCTGGAGAGCTGTGACAGTGCTGATCATGCCTAAGACGAACGGTTGCATGATTTTGTTCAGCAGAGTTCTGCAAACTCTCTAAGCTGCCTGGATAATTTACTTGTGGTGAAATATTCGAGTTGTTGATAAAAGAATAATGACGATTTGTTATTGTAGTGGTCGTTGTCGAAATAGAAGTTCTCTCTGCCTCGGTCTCTCCTTGAGCTGCACTATCTAAATGTCGACTAAGTGTTGCGACTTTATTAGTCTTGGTGTTTGATTTTTTCATCGTCATATCAAACACCGTATAACTTCGAAAATCATCGCAAACCTGCTTTTCACTGACATTTGAGTGATTTGTTGTGGTTCACAATAGTATTTTCAACAAAAGTGGTTCTACGTTAATGATTACTGCGCATGCGCCAATCTATCTTCCGCATTAGTCACGAGCAGACGACAAGACAGAAAATACCCAGGCCTAGGCCATTTTAATCAGATATAAATATAAGCTTTAATTGTATATCCAAATTACTGAACAAAATCATTTTTTTTACAAGTTAATGCAAATAAGTACATGCCATAAAAACTATAGAATAATATAAATCTAGAATCTAAATAGGGGTTAGTAAATTTAAATTTGATAGATCTAGGTGTTTAAAATCAAAAAGCTAATTATTAGGCCCCTATTTCTTTTTTTGTTGTTTTGTTTTGTTTAATGTTTCGTTCAGTGTTTCTTCCAGACTTTTTTCTCCGGGGGTGCACTTGGAATTTTCGGGGGGGGGGGGGGCGGACACTGTCAAAAGTATATATTTTCTATATTTCTTCTACCCCCCCCCCCCCCCCCCACACACACACACACCAACAAAGAAGAAATATAGTAACCTATTAAAAGCGGCCTGTCCACCCTACGCCATGCATTCCGCCCCTGCAACACATGACGTCTACAGTGTTTCTTCCAGACTTTTTTCTCCGGGGGGGGCACTTGAAATCTTCGGGGGGGCGGTAAACTTTCTTCGGGGGGGCGGACACTGTTAAAAGTATATATTTTCTATATAAATTATATAAATTTCATTTCGTTCGGGGGGGCGGTAAAATTTTTTCGGGGGGGCTAAGCCCCCCCGAAGAGATGCCTGGAAGAAACTCTGGACGTCTATGAATGTGACCCCGCTTTAAAACAATAGAAAGCTAAATCAGTTCTCTACTCATTAAGGAACTCATAGCCCCAAATTCAATTGAAAACAAAAACTAGATCTATATATTTTGTACGAGCCAGCAAAAAATCAAGTTAAGAAAATGTTTAACAATTTTACAAGCGCAAAATCAGGGGATAACCTATGTTAATTGTCGTATCAGATGGGCTCAAGGTCCACATAAATATGAAATATTGGCATATTTCACCTTAGGCTACTCAGCTATGTTTCCACTATAGATTAGAATACAAAATAGCTTCTCTTTGGCCCCAAGGTTATATTGCTTTATACAATTCTTTTTTCAACTAAGCATTTCTATGGGCCTTCTGTCAGAAAATAATTGCAACACGTTACTACCTCAGTGAGGGTATTATGTAATATCACCCACTGAGGTGTAGTGTGTTTACGAGCTGACCCTGAGAGTTGTGAGAGACAACAAAAAACAACGACGCCTGCTGGTTGTTTCTGGATCAGCCTATTTATTGCATGCAGCGAATTGCAATTTCCAGTACAATATCAAGCAGAGGCGTAGCGAGGGGGGGGGGGGCGGGGGGGGGGGCGGACCGCACCGGGTGACACCATTTACAGGGGGGTGACATCAAGGCAAAAAATAGCAAAATATATAGAGAAAAATTTGAGAGGGGGGGGGTGCAAATCGAAAGTTTGAGGAGGGGGGGTGCAGATTTAAAAAATTGAAAGTTTGTCCCCGGGAAGGGTCTCTACGCCTCAGGGGGGTGACACCATTAAGTGCCGCACCGGGAGACACCCGACCTCGCTACGCCACTGATATCAAGTACATAGATATATCTAATCTATAGCCCTTCAATTGGTCTATCTATATACTACTCGTTATTCAATGCCCATGTCATGCAGTTACTGTCCTGGTCACCCGCAGCCTGGAGTGCCATTTGACACAGTCGCAACTACCCAGAGGTCACATGACATTGGGAAATACGGGGAAACATTCCTCACTCGGGCAGATGAGGCTCGTTAGCTGGGGACAGCCACTCTTCTAGGAGAGACAACTCCAAAATCAAACAACTGCTGCCATGTAGTTTGTTCTTGGTTGGACAAAGGATATGGAAGCAAATCCAAAAAGAAAAGCAGGCTGAAATCGGAGTCAATGGCCTCAATGGCGCATAGCCAGTTGACACGTATCCTTAATTATGTTGGAAGGGGATCCCTTCTAACACTAAAATTAAGAAGGATGAAGAAGATTCCTCACAGAAGAACATTAAAGTAAAAATAACGTTGCTGTCCCAAAGGGGCCGCAACCCAAAAAGGTGTAAATTATCTCCCATGACTGGTAAAACAAAATCTACGAGTGAAAAAAATAAATAAAACGCTGATGAATCTGATTTTCGTGTTTATGATTGTTTTTTTTTTTAAATCTTTCTATATGTGTCCAATCCCTTGTCTTTAGGTTGTCCAAAGTAGTATTACTCTATATAAAGTAGAAATTATTGTACAGAGTAACAGTTGCATCCCTTGCCGCATTATCGCAAAATGTCACAAAACAAATGTCATTTGTCACCCCTGTTTCATTTGAGTGTTATAATTTCCTTGGCTAATTAGTTACTAATCTAATCATATTTCAAAGCAATTGGAATTTATTTTTAAAAATTGTTGCTGTGTTCCATTTAAAATTTTTAAAAAATGAAATATTTCATAATTGGTTGTGACGGTGTGAGATTGTTGTGCTTTAATTACTTTTTTTTTGTAATTCATGCCTTGGAATTTTGACTGCTGATTTATCAGAAGTTTATTAGTATTATTAGGATATTAGATAGGCGGGTCATGCTGAGAAATAAATAAACGTAGTTTATTTTTTTCCTGCACGCACTTATGATCATATCATAAAACACAAAGATGTGTCGTGTCATACCACATCCAAATATAACAAAAAATAAAACGTTTGCATTGATCAACCCCATAGTCACCCCCACCCGCACAGTTAAACTATGCGTGTGTTTTTTTAAGTGCGTGAGTGTTTCATGAGTGTGCGTGCGTATGAGTGTGCGTGCGTTGCGCGCGTGTAAAAGTTTGTGTATTTATCTGTGTGCATAAGATGTATGAGTGTGTGTGAGTGTTTCTGGAGATATTAGTACTAGGCTCATGTATTTTTGCTTTGTGTATTTTAAGTATGCTAGGCGCTCATTAAAATGTAGAACCAACATTTAATATAAAAATAATGTTCTTGATAATTTGAATACGGTACATTACTGCAAGGAAAACCAAACAATAGTTTTATTTTCAGCAGAGAGATAGATATGTACTAAAGGACTTTGCTTTTATAGAGGACATTAAACGGGCTAAAACAAAGCAGGCAAAAGAAACCGTTCACTATCGTCGACAAAAAAAATGGATACTCTTGAAGTTGACGGCAAAGAAAAGCTAAATGTAATTAAAGTCCATCTTGTTGTAAAAGTTATAACATACATTGAAAATGTAGTACAATAAAATAATGTACATGTTTCTTTCATTTACTTTGATTAATAATCAATAAAGACCTGCTATCATTATTATAATAGATTGACGACAGAAGCCTGTGGTTGTATATAACACATTTATTGGGTCTAACTACCACGATGGTAACACACAGAGAGGACGGAAGGAAGTACACAAGGGACATCACTCAAGATAACAATATTATAAATATAACTAATACAGAAGAGTGAGTTCCCTTGACCTCACAATTATTTCAATCTATTACATCCCTTTACCCTTAGAACACAATAACACATCTCTCAATAGAACAATTGATAGTATCCTAAAATCACCAATTATATTGTAACATGAACACTATGGTAGATTACATCCTTACAAACAATGCACAATATGCCACAACATAATCAAGATACAAAACAATGATGTCAAAGTCCTTTTGACCCTTAAAATCATAGGTCTAACTTATTTGGGACTTTGATTGTCCTGCTTGACCTTCTCAGTGGCTTTTGATTTGGTGACTCAAGATTCTGACCATCTGGATTCTCTATCTCAGGAGGTCTAGGATTTAAATCATTAACTCTAGAATTTACATTTTCTGACTCTAGACAACTTGGTTCACTCATATCAACAGAACTTGGTTGTGGAACAAACTGAGTTGGTGTGAACTGATCAGACTTGGTGGGATTGACAGATTCACACTTATTATCTGCACAAGTTATTTTCAACTGGTCTGCATGTCTACGGACAATAAGTCCATCATTTGTTTTTACTTTATAAGACACAGGTCCTGTACATTGAACAATTTGACCTGGTATCCATTTTTCCTTTCTCCCATAATTTCTCAGATACACATTATCATTAACTGCAAATTCTCTTTCAATGGATGATTTGTCATGATTTACTTTTTGTGTATGTTGATGTTGGGAAACAGACCTTTGAACAGTTGGATGTAGTAGGTCAAGATGAGTTTTAATTTTCCTACCACATAGCAATTCACATGGTGCAACACCTGTTGTTATATGAGGAGTTGTGCGGTATTTGGTTAAGAACCTGTTTACTCTTTCTCTAAGAGAAAACTTGTTACCGGTATTCATTTTTACCATAGCGGTTTTGAATATGCCTACCGCTCTTTCAGCCAAACCATTCCCAGCAGGATGATAGGGGGATGTGGTTATATGCTCAATACCATTTGCCACACAAAACAGTTTAAACTCATGAGCTGTGAAACTAGGCCCATTATCTGAAACAATTTGATCTGGTAATCCATGAGTTGAAAATATTTCCTTAAGTTCTATAATGGTATCATTTGCAGTGATTGTGTTCATGATTTTAACTTCTAACCATTTAGAATGTGAATCAATAACAATTAAGAACATTTTGTTCATGAAAGGTCCTGCGAAATCTATATGTATACGTTTCCATGGTTCAATTGGCCAGTCCCAGTTTTGCAAAGGTGCTGTAGCTGGTTGATTTGAATGTTGTGCACAGCTTGAACAAAGTTTTACATATTTTTCAATATCAGCATCCATATGTGGCCACCAGAACCATGATCTTGCTAGACTCTTCATTTTGGAAGAACCAAGATGAGTATCATGTAAAGTTCTTAAAACTTCTTTTTGTAACATTTTGGGGATAATTACTCTTGACCCCCATAGTATACATCCATCTTCTAGACTTAACTCTGTTTTTCTTATTTTATATGGCTTTAAGTCATCATTCACAGACTCTTCAGGCCAACCATTCTTACAGTACTCATATACTTTTATTAAGCACTCATCTTTTTGTGTTTCTCTTTTAATATCATTCACATTTATATTGGAGTTATCCATGATAGTGAAGAGAACAAATACATCTTCTGGTACATAGCTCAGGCTTTGGTTTTTTAAAGGTAATCTACTAAGACTATCTGCACTATTCTCAGATCCAGGTTTGTATTTCAATTCATAATTGTATGCAGTTAGTGTGATAGCCCATCTTTGAATTCTTGGTGAGGCATGCTCAGGTAGGGTTTTGTTTTCTCCAAATAAACCTAGCAATGGTTTATGATCTGTAATGATGGTGAACTTCCTACCAAACAGAAACTTATGAAATTTCTTAACACCAAAAATGATGCCTAAGCCTTCCCTATCTAACTGAGAATAATTTTTCTCAGCCTGGTTCAAAGATCTACTGGCAAAAGCAATGGGTCTGTCACCCTTCTCATCCATGTGGGACAAGACTGCTCCTACACCATCTGGTGAAGCATCACATGTTAATATAAGTCTTTTCCCTGGGTCATAGTGAGTTAGTAAGGTGTCAGAAGACAAAGCCTCTTTTGCTGTATTAAAAGCAGCTTCTTGTTGTTTACCCCAGTGCCAAGTTGCATTTTTCTGTAGCAGCTTGTACAGTGGTGATAGTTTACCAGACAGATTCCCTATGAACTTTGCATAGTAATTTATCAAGCCCAAAAAAGCTCTTAGTTGTTGGGTATTTTCAGGTTTGGGTGCTTCTTTAATGGCTTTTGTTTTCTCAGGTTGAGGTCTGATGCCTTGTTTGCTCAATATATAACCAAGAAAACTAATTTCTGTCAGCATGAATTGACATTTATCTTTGTTTATCTTTAAACCTTTTTCACCAACAATTTTCAATACTTTATCAAGTGTTTTAAGATGTTCAGTGTCATTCTTACCAGTTATGTACACATTGTCAAAGTACACACAAACATTTGGAATGTCCTTAAAAATACTGTCCATGACAGCTTGGAAAATTCCAGGGCTAGATGATATGCCAAAACATAGTCTTTCATATTGGTAGAGTCCTTTATGTGTGTTTATTGTCGTATAGACTTTTGAATCTGGATGCAGTTCTAGTTGAGTGTAAGCATGACTAAAGTCTAATTCAGTGAATTTGTCTCCTCCTGCCAAATTCAAAGAGATTTCCTCAATGTTAGGTATAGGGTACCTATTTAGCTCTATTTGCTTATTCAGTGTAGTTTTATAATCTCCACAAATTCTTATAGAACCATCCTTCTTTAACACTGGCACAATGGGTGTCGCCCAATCGGAATAGTCTACCTTCTTTATAATGCCATTAGATTCCAATCTACTTAGCTCATTTTCAATTTTGTTCCTCATTGCATAAGGTGGAACTCTAGCTTTGCAGTATCTTGGATTTGTATCTTTAATGCTTAACTTCACTGTTCTATCATTTAGTAAACCTAAATTACCAAAAACACATTTATTTTCAGATATAACTTTATCTAGTGAAGTAAGACTAGATTCTTTTACATTCTTCAATGAACAAATACTCTCCCAATTTAACTTAAGATGACTTAACCAGTTCCTACCTAGTAATGGCGGTCCATTTCCTTCAACCACAAGAAGAGGAAGTTTAACACTTTGACCATTATAACTTACATGAACCATACACTCTCCTATTACCGGAACATTGTCACCAGTGTATGTTGTTAGACACTTGTGACACGGCTGTAGAGGCACTGATCCTCCTGTGGCAGCGTCAAACTCTTTCTTTGTTATGACTGTTAGAGATGCTCCAGTGTCAAGTTGGAAGCTGATGCTCTTACCGTTGATATTAACTTGTACATTGATGGGAGCATGACTTATTGATTTCACAGAGAACAGGTTGAAATCCGGCTGCGAATCAGTTTGAGAATTTTCACAGGTAGAGTGGTTCATTGGTTGGGTTAGGTAGTCTTGGTGAGAGTTAACATAGTGCTGCTTTTGGTTGCGGTACTGTCTTGACTGGCTAGATTTAGCAACAGACGAAGACTTTGCAAAGCAGGCCTTGGCAATGTGACCTTGCTTACCGCACTTATAACAAGTTGCTAACTTGAACTTGCACCGATGAGATGCATGGGGACCTTTGCATCGATGACATTTTTGATAATTACTACTAGATTTAGATCTAGGATTTGAACGAGCAGGCTGTTTAGCATAAGTTGGAATGCTCTGATGGAGTTGATGTTTATTGACTAACCTGCTGTTTACTGCATGGATCTCTGAAGGTGCTAAAGATCTCGCCGCATCAGATGACTGCTGGAATGACATTGCAAGTTGTATTGCTTTTTCTAATGTTAGATCTGACTCGAGCAGCAACTTTCTTTGAATATCAGGGCTGTTTACACCTGTCACAAACTTTTCACATAGTCTGTCAGACAGCGTGTCTCCAAATTCACAGAATTCACTTAAATGACGTAAAGCAGCAACATATTCTGATATTGACTCGTTTGGTTGACGAGTCCTACTGTCAAATCTAGCTCTACATAAAAACTTTGATGGGGTAGGCGCATGGTGGTCTGTTAGCAATTTGCTCAGCTCGTTAAAGCTCTTGGTAGTTAGACTAGCTGGTGCGCATAAGTCTTTTAGTAGCCTAAATTGTTGAGGCCCTATGACTGTTAACAAAATAGCTCTCTTTTTGGCTTCTATCGTCACGTTGTTTGCTTCTAGGTAAAAGCTTAACCTCTCTAGGTAATCTTGAATGATTTCATCATTCGCATCAAATTCTTTTATTTGGCCATACAGCGCCATAATTCTAGAAATAATTAGCTAATAAGCTCTAGCAAACCTCTTTTTTTGCGTAAGTAGGTGCTCTTTCTAGTAGATGTTTATCCTTCGTCGCCAGTTATAATAGATTGACGACAGAAGCCTGTGGTTGTATATAACACATTTATTGGGTCTAACTACCACGATGGTAACACACAGAGAGGACGGAAGGAAGTACACAAGGGACATCACTCAAGATAACAATATTATAAATATAACTAATACAGAAGAGTGAGTTCCCTTGACCTCACAATTATTTCAATCTATTACAATTATGATATCGTTATACAAACACACAAAATCTACTTATCATCTTTTAATTTTGTAACACCTAGCCTATGTGCGGACTGGCTGGCCAATGTCCAGAATAAAAAATTACAATATTAATTTATGTAGACTAAAATGAAAGTTTTATTTTAAAATACCACCTACTTCTAGATTTCTAGACCTACTTGACTTTCATAAAAACATTTGGGCAACGTACACTGACACATAGCCAGTAAAGTATTTATTAACAAATTATCAAATTATATATCTAGGCCTAAATAATTATTACAAAATAAACGATATTTTACTTTAAGTACATGTATTCGCTGCTGATTAACAAAATGGCGCCGTCCAGTGATGATTCTGATGAAGACGATTTTGTAGTAATTGGAACTCCTTTGCCCCCTCTTGTTGAAGGTTTTTAACTTTAATCGCTTTTGTTTTCGTGTAATATATTTTAAGTGTAGATCTAGACTTTGCTTTTTACTAATGTTCGATAATATTTTGGGTAATCTATCATTTTGATTTAGTTAGTTCTAAAGTTCCACAGATCACACATAGACTCTAGATCTAGCTGGGAAAATTCCGAACTCCCGAATTTCATCGGGCGCTATTTTGTAACCGTTTAACACAGAAACAAACCCAAAGTACTATATTATTCCTCTGCCATTCTACTCTTAATATCTAATCTATCAATCATTTTATATTCCTACGCATAGATATCATGTTTTAGTGATGTGCTACTTGTGATATTTTTTTCCCTGCGGACACCCGAACCGGCTCGCGTAACGATCGTATTTTATACGTTTTAATCCAATTTTAATAACTAAAATAAATATTTTACACTTTTAAACATGTTGTTGATTGTATTATTAATTAATAGATTGCAAAACCAAATAAACACGTTAATTAAATTTATTAACAACACATTAAAAGATGACCCAGTGATGACTCAAGGGACGCAAATATAATAATCATAACAAAGGGACGTAAGAATCACTAACAAGACATGATGTAAAATTTACTTAGATATGCTTGTATGTAGAGACACAAACTAGATTTAGAAAAAGTAGATGATCGAAATAATTTAAAACAACAGGAAAAAAATAGAAATCATATAGATTCTAGACTTAGCTTGAAATATAGAGCATCTAGAAGATCTAGGCTAGTCTAGCTCAAGTAGTTGGTTACACAACGAGGTGAAACCGCCCTAATCGTTACCCATGCTGCGGCCACTCCTATTCACCTCTCAGGTTGCTTTATTAGCCTTATCTATCGTATGTACAGTGTCCCACACATATTGTAGAAGTTATTTATAGTTAACCTAGTTATAACAAGCTTTGATTGGTTGGTTTTATTCGTCTCATCCGGGACCTAGTATTTTCATCCTGGGGTACTGGAATCGCTACGAAGTCATACCTCGAAACTTAAAACTTTAAAAACTCGTCTTCCAGAAGGAGAAAAACTAAAGAATTTGACCTGGATATATTTAGAAATGGACATGTGTAAAGCAGATTTCGGTAGTTTCGTATAAACATCCAAATAAATATTATATGAAGTGATAAACAGGCGATGATCGCACCAGTATTTTAACTGCGTGTGGAACTTCAATCTAGATCTTTATTCAAGGCCTAATGAATTTATTTTTATTTGAGTTGAATTGTTTGTGCTGAATTTACTTAAAGCCTACACTCAGTAATTTAATTTACTCATTTAGCTTAAAATTAAAATCTAAAACTTGGTCTAAAAGAGTGAAAAATACTCAGTACTGTTGTTTAGATAGTAATAATAATAGGTAGGCTATGTTATTTGTCAAAATATTTGTTAACTTAAACAAAAACTGCAGAAGCTACTGTAATCTCAGTGTAATGATATACCTAATTAATACTAATTATTTTGTAACTGAAGCAGTACTCCAGTTATAGTGTTCACAGAAATAAAATACCACTTAGGGTTAGGTTACCATTTTTTATCCATGTCAACAATAATGGTCAAACCCAGCTCATCAAACTTGGCAGCCTTCATTGAAATAAAATATAATCTTTTATAATTAGGCCTAAGTAAAATAAATAAGGCTTCATAAAAAAGGAAGCCAGTGCTATTTCATTTTACTAGTTCTACCAATATAAATTAATATGCCTGTATATCCCAAGGTCTTTCTCTGAATTCTCCTGTGACCTTGTTTTTTTTTTCCTTGAATGTTTTATGCTGAACTGGAACACACCAGTTTGGAATCCTATGTCAAGTCTTTTATCAATCATGTCTCTAATGTGAGATTTACAGTTGAAGTAAAAATTTACCATTTTTTAATTAGGTCAGCCATTAAAAAAGTATACAGCTGTTGAAGACCTAACAGCCAGAGACAAGCAAGGTAGACGCAGATTCCATGGGGCGTTTACTGGAGGGTTTTCAGCTGGCTATTTTAACACTGTTGGAACCAAAGAAGGTTGAAATACTTAACATTGTTATTTTGCTTTTATATCAATAGTTTTTCCTGAATAGAAATATCCAACAAAAAATGTATTGAAACATTTTTTTTACCATTATTTTCAATTTGATACATTAGTGTCAAGTAACATACATTCATTACATTGATAATTCAGATCCATAACAAATATGTAAAAAAAATGGTATAATTTATTATATCTTATCTTTTAATATTTTCAGGGTTTACACCATCCTCTTATGTGTCCTCAAGGAGTAAAAAAAATGAAGTTCCAGAGAGGTCTGGGTTTATACCAGAAGATTTTATGGATGAAGAGGTGACATACAAGATTTACAGTTTTGTTAAAATATGACAAAATTACTGTTCTTTGGTAAAAAAATATGTGGTATTTTGAACTCTTTAAAGTGTAATGTGTTGATGATTTTTTTTTTCCCACGCAGGATTTGGAAGAACATGGTATTGCTCCTCGCAAGTTTGCCACTGTAGGTACATTTACATCAGAAGAAAGGAAAAGGAAATCTATTGAAGATGCTACAAGCGTTCATTCGAAAGCAACTCTTGGAATTAATTCAGCTATAATTGATATAGCTGTCCCTAAAATGTAAAAGCATTATGTTTTAAAAATTGAAATCCAATTTTAAATATGGAACAGTACATTTTTTTAAAAGGCATTTACTGATGTATTTAATAGATACAGTTTTTTACATCAAACTTTCTATTTCAATAGTTTTTGTAAAATATGTTCTTGCATCAACAGGGTATTATTTTATGTTCTAGAATGCCAATTGGAATTAAGCTGCTAAATAAAATGGGATGGCGGGAAGGTCAGGGAGTTGGACCTCGGCAGAAGAAAAAGAAAAAAGTCACCATGAAGAAGAAAGGTTTGCTAACTGAACTAAAAAATTCACTTAAATACCTCAACCATCTTTTAAAAATAAAAAAAAATTGGAAATGAAATACTTGTGTTGATTTATTAAAGTATTACTAATACTGTTAACACTATTTTATTTTTAATGATACCTTTTTAAAATCCAGATCCTACTGTCAAAATGTATGGATGTGCACCCCCACCATCTGATGATGATGAGGTTAGAAAATAAACATTCATGTTTTAAATCTTTAATGTCAATAGTGTTAACTAATACAGACAGTCCTACCCAAATATCATTATATACATTCTGCAAATCCTACACACAAAATTGTAACTTTTTATAATTTAAAAAATATTGAAAAATCTAACCCATCACAAAAAATGAGTAAAGTATGTTCATTCCAAATCTGTAATCTGATAATGTTCTTCAACATAGTATTGATATGGGCTTACTTCTTAGTATTTGTCCTGTACAAGTCAGAAAAACATGGAGATTGCTCTACATAAGGGGTCTCCAAACTTTTCAGTCAGAGGGCCGCATTAACTATCAAATTTCAGTTCGGGGGCCAGTTTTTTACAGGCATGTCTTTGATTTTTCTGGGCAAAGTTCCTCAGCCATCACCAACAAACGATTTTTCCTTGGACAAAAAGATCTCCGCGGGCCGGATGAGAGGACTTCGAGGGCCGTATCCGGCCCACGGGCCGTAGTTTGGAGACCCCTGCTCTACATCTATATACAGTTATTATACATATGCTCATATAAATTGAATATGCAAATTTATATTTCTTATTGTAATATTATTTTTGGTTTAAAACACAACCATGTTTATGATCCACATTGATGTTTGAAATAATTTTGTTGTAATTACTCTTTCTCAAAATGATTGTCTGCTAATATTAGATATGAGGAGCTAGATCAACATATAGAAAATAACCTTATTTTTAAAACCACAGCATCAGTTTGGCATGTTCTGATCAAATTTCTTATTCAAAGGAGAAAGAAAATGAATTTAATAAAAGTTTTTTCTTTCACATTTTCAGGATTCAGATGATTTTATACCCAAGGACATGAATGATGTAACTTTTGCACCAAAAGATGTTACTCCTATTCCTCTGGATTCTAAAGATGATTTCCATGGCCTCGGATACCATGGACTGGATCCAAGGCTTGCCCTTCCTGGTTCTCACATTCAGTTATTCGGCTCTACTGCGACACGCTCATCAACAGGTGTTAAAGGAATAAGGGGACAGGTATTTTTAAACAGCCAGGAGATTTTTTATAACTGCTGGAATTCCTGGTGCTCTAAATGACACAAGTTATCCATATTCAAATGTGAAATTGAACCTTTAAGAATAGATTATTTTGTACAGTTTTCAACTTTTTCCATTTATTTTCTTTAAAAGATTTAATGAAAGTTTAAAGGTTCTAAACAACCAAAATCATTATTCCAGCACACACTGTGTCTTTAAAAGAATCTTGCACATTTGCATTAATTTACATTAAAGTGTGTAAATGTTATATTCTTAAAAAGTGATTTTTAAAATAATTTTTTAGGCTTTTGGTGTGGGTGCTTTTGAAGATGAGGATGAAGACATATATGCTGTGGACAACATGTCCAACTATGACATAACCATGCAGCTTGATGATGAAGTGGACAATAAATTTGGATGGACAGCACCAAGAGAGCATGGTTTGATAGACTTGTGTTTAAAAAAGTTTATATTGTTGTTCAATATACTGACAAGTGTGAACTAATGTTGCTTTATGAATAACAATTTTTCTCTCTTCAGGTAAACAAACAGTTCCTGTCACCTATGTTGGGAAGTTGTTGGAAGGATTTAAACTGTCATCCACTACATTGATGCCTAAGAAGGTGAAACTTATTGACATATAACAGCAACATAATTTTTGTGCTAGACATAAAAACAATTTCTTTACAAACCATTAGTCACTCTGAAATATTGGCAACACCAATATTAATTGTTAAATTTTGTTTCATGAATTATTGGTGCGTTATAAAAAAAATTGTAGCTACTCCAAAAATGTAAAAAAAAAAAAAAACTGTCTCCTTGGTTTAACTCTAACCCTACTAAGTGCCATCTAATTGTCTTAAGCCCATTAATGAACCTTTTTTTAAAAGACAATAGATTTATGATAGTATTGGCTTGGACTGCTTATATTATAACTTATATCTATAACACAGTCATGTTCCTACTGCAAGTAAAGAGTCAGGTCAATTTAGGCTGACTTCAACCCTAGTCAGGATTACAAACTGTCTTTGAATTTAGTTTCTTCACCTTTCTAATTTAAAACTGATATTTTTTTGTATTCTCCAGAAATACCCCCCACCTGCGCTCCCAGCCCACTTCAGACCACAACACTGGTTCAGGAAAAAGAGACAAATCAGTCATTTACCAGACAGCACAGAACAGCAGGGTCAGAAAAAGTCTGATCAGATGAATGCAGTAGATAGAGGATTGATGTTAGGAGAGACTCCTATATTAGGTAGCGTGAATTGCACATCAGATGAAAATGTTGAATATTTGGATATACTCATACAAACAAGTCAATTTGATCCGATCTATGTTGATACTCTAAACATTAAAGCTTGAAGGATAAGCATGAAAACACTATTGACACCTGTGTGCAAACCTTTATTTTCTTCTAATTTCTACTGCTCTTTGTATTTGACTGAGAGGATTTAGCTACAACTTTGTTGTCAGCAGCAATACTCAAAAAATGAAATCATCTGACTATGTAAATAAAATTGAATTTGACTCACAATATTTAAAAAAAATTTACTTTTGCATTGAAAATCCTATCATTATCTATATGTCTATTTTATTCCTTATCTTTGTAGGCTCAGTGTTTGACTTAATCCAGAAAGAAGACAAGAACAGAATAGAGGCTACCAAGCAGGCTATAGCAATCACTCAGTCTCTGGCTAACAAAGCAGCCATGGAGCTCACATCAAAGTTTCACCAATCTGACAATTCTAATGTAAGAAAAATTGTATGTTCTCTTCTTTGTATACCAGTTTGATCGTTCTAGTATAAGAAGCTCCCTCTTTTTAACCAGCTCATTCTAAAGTTTTTTTTAGAAACGTTGCTTTTGCCTACCAGATTATTCTAATGTAAGAGATTGAAAACTTCTTGTTAAGTGATTTATTTTAAAATAACAATAAATGCTTTTATTAGGCACCAGGGCATTCTGTGGAAGCACCAGATCAAAGCAAGAACACATTCCTCTCCAAGTTCAAGCCTGCCAGCTCTACAGCAACTGTGACTGAACCAGTGTCAGATTCCCAGGCTAAAGCTCCACTGTTCCAGGGCAGCCTTAACTTCCAGCCTTTCCGGAAGGATCCAGTCAAACAAGAGAGATATGACAGATACCTGGCTCTGCTGAAGCAGGGTGTCAAAGGTAACTTACATCTCACTCATTGGAAGCTCACTAATGCTTTTTATCCCAAGTCTTCTGCTATTTCTAACTTTAGGATATTGTTTTGCTTATGGGGACCGAATTAAAAGAATGAATATCACATGATATACTTTTTGAATAATTGATATTTTAATAATTGTGGGATTCTAGCTTCAGCAAGACATGACTAAGTTTTATTGTATGTTTCACGTTTTATGTTTTTCTCAATACTAGACAATAAATATAGTACTGCTCAGAGTTTAGAAAAGGCTTATAGAAAAAAATAATCAACAGTTTAAGATTTACATGTGAGCATGTTCCTTTTTTCCTCTATTTTGACAAGTTTTAAAATAAAACATTTTTGCTTAAGTAAAATTTTTAACACTATACAAATTAACAAAACAGTTAGCCCTACACAACTTTTTAAAATAAAATTGTAGCTTTTTATAAAACAAGTGTCCAATCCATTTTTGACAGTTTTTCTCTCTCTAAATATTGTTGCTAATGGTAACATTATTGAAGCAACTTGGTTAATACTGTAAAAATACAACTTGCCCTGTAACTAATATTCATTATACCTCTTTTTAATTAATGTACTGATCATTTAATTACAATGTGAGTTTTGTATCTTGTGAAATTTAAAAATCAGAACCCTATGCTTCTGTGGCTGGCAGTCATATGACAGAGTGGGAACGAGCAAGAGAGAGGGATGAGTTTGCTAAGGCTTCCAAAATTTTCCGCCCCATGTCAGCCATGATGTCATCTAGATTTGTGAGAGGGGCTATGATTGATGACGAACACACCCAAGGACCCTCAAACTCCTCCGTAAGTTTGTAACTCTATGGAAGCCTGTTTTTTTAAATTTTATTTTGTTATTAGTATTAAAAATCAATGGCATCTTATAATTTTTATAGCATGAAGTGAGTGACCAAGCCAAAGCAGCTTCCATGAATATGTATGGTAAACTGACTCGAGAAGAGTTTGAATGGCATCCTGATAACTTATTATGTAAACGTTTCAATGTGCCTAATCCTTATCCTGGGTATGTAGAAGATTCATTCAAAGTTGTATTGTTAAATTAAAGAATTTTTAAAAAGTAAACTTTTTTGGTGTAAAATACATTAAATAATTCATTGTTGGTATCGTAAGAAGTAGTATAATTTAAATTGCTTAAATTAGGTGATTTTATAATACTTAACACTTACCTTGTGAAAGATAGTACACATTCAATTAGAACTATTTTGATTTGGTTGAGAGTATATTTTAAAATATCCACAATATTAAAATACATAACCCTGGTTATTGTCTAATTTCTCTTTAGGTCTGATATCGTTGGCCTACCAACAGTGAAACGGGACAAGTTGTCTGTATTTAATTTCTTAGATTTTGGTGACTATCAATCAGGGGATATTCAGGAACCTACTCTAAAAAAAACTGGTAAAAATCTTTACATACATTTTGATTATCTATTAAAACATGCATGCATATTTAATGGTTACATATATAAATGTTATTTTTATTTAATTAATCTTTCAGAACCTGAAGTGCAAGCACCTGCTCTGAAACCTAAACCCACATTGGCTTCCGTCTTTAAAGTACTCGATGATCCAGATTTTGATAAACCTGTAATAATTCTTTTTTGCTTAATATAGTTATTTTTCAATTTGACTTTTTAAAATTTTCGCTTGATGAAATTATTTTCAATTTTAAAAAAAACAAACATATTTTTTGCTTAACATAAGTAATAGTTTTAAGTTACATATTTATATAAGACCTTTTTATCTCAGACCTACAAACCTGGCTCAAGAGACAAGGAAGACAACAATACAGATCAGCCTAAGAAAGATGAAGATGAGGAAGCAGACGATGATACCCCACCTGACATTGATCTCTTCAGAGCTATTTTCAAAAATTCTGATTCTGAGGATTCAAAAGATGAATCAGAAAAAGAAATTGAAAACGATAGCAGTGATGAAGAAATGGAGACAAAGCCTGAAGCTGATAAAAAACAGCAGGAGGATAAGGAAGAGTTGAACTCTGTTACAGAAGGTGTTTGTTATGTTGACACCTTACGTGAACTTAGGATAGGAATAGCTTGATTGTTTAGACTAGGCTGTAAACATGTCTTGGTTATGGTTTAACAGTATGTGTCATATGGTTGCTGTCATGTTGTATACGTTTTTGTCAGTAAAGTCAATTCACTCTGCACATGACATCACTGAATGATATACAAGCACATACTTAAGCTATTTTTTTTAGTGTAAAGAGATATTGTAAATGTACCCAGTATTTTCTTAATAATTGTAAATTATCAAACACTTTACAAGTGTTTCAGCTTTGTGATGTAATATGTATGTTTTCAACAGTAATACAAATTTAAAAAATAAATAATTTTATTTCTCTCCATAAACAGAGGTGATTGTAAAACCAGAGCCATCTGAGGTCAAGGTTACAGATGAGCTAATCAATACCAGCACACCCACGGAAGGAAGACAGGAAGTGAGGCATGTAGGTCGTACAATGCGCAAGTCCATCTTTAGTGTTATAGATCATTTGGATGATCCTGTCTGCACTTCAGATAAACATCCAACTACAGGTGAGGTAACTTTCCCTAATTATGTTTTCCAAAATTCCAGCTCTTCTTTGATTTGTGATTTATATGCAAAATGTGATCTCTTTAGAACATCAGGTCATTACTTTTGTAAATTATACACTATAGGGAAAAACATTTCACAATTTAAGAAAATTTTTTTTTCCTTTAATCAAAATAATTGGTATTTCTATGAAATCTTTGCACACAAAACTATAAGTTGACAAACATAATATTTGTATTAGGAATTGATTGCACACTCTTTAGATACCCATTTATTACTATGCATGTAATCATCAAAAACTGCCATTATTTTATTGTTATTATATTTTTCAAGATTTGGTGGAGCAAGTGACTGTGATAGAAGAGGATGTAGATGAATATGGACCCAAGTTGCCACCTTCTTCCAGTTCGAATACACAGTCTCACACATTTGGTAAATTTTGGGGTTTCGCAAGCCATTTAAATAAAATTCAAGTTTACTGTGAACAAAAAATGCAATTATAATTATATTGTTATATTATAGTTTATAGATATTTATTATATATATATTACATATATTATATATATATATATATATATATATATATATATATATATATATATACATATATATATATATATATATATATATATATATATATATATATATATATATATATATATATATATATATATATATATATATATATATATACATATATATTACATAGATTACATATAATATATATATATATTACATAGATTACATATAATATATATTGTATATATTATATGATTAAATTATAATATTGTGAAAAACTTTTATTGTTTTATCAGAATCTAATACACCTATACTATCTACAAAGAAAAACAAAGATAAAGAAAGAAAACATAAGCATAAAAAAGAAAAAAAGGTAAGTATCTTGTACTAGTACTTAAACATGTAGTATTTTGCATGAAATTTTTAAATTTCATTTTATTCCTTAACACTTGTACCATCAATAATTAAAAGAAAACAATAAAATGGCTGTTTATTGAAATCTCTACTGCTTTGATAGACCTTAATAAATAACACATTTTTTTATTAGAAAAAGTCAAAAAGTAAAAAGGAGAGAAAGCACAAAAAGCACAAGAAATCTGGCAAGTCTAAAAAAGCTTACAAAGACAGTTCTGGTAGTGATGCTGACACAGAATCAGATAGTGCTGACTCGGATATTTCTGATACTGAATTACTAAAAAAGTAAGACTACATTTCTTTCTTTTGTTGTATGGTATCATATGTGTACATAACTATTTCATCATTATTGAATTATTTTAATTGCAGATTAAAACAAGTAGCAGGGAAAGTCCTTGATGTGCACTAAGCAGTATTGTACAGTGTATAGTGTAAATAAAGTTGTTAATTAATTATCAAAACAAGGTTTTTGTGTTATATTTGAAAAAATAAAAACTGATGACAGAGATTCTTGTAATTTAAAGAGAACCTTATGTAAAAGATGTACTAGGGATATGGACCTACAGTTCTTACATGAAGTTATAGAAGGGATAACTGGTGCACCTGTTAATAAATACTGGTAAATATTGTCCAAGTTTTGATACCTCCACCACTGTTTTGTTAAAATTTGAATGCAGAAAAACAGTTTATAGATGTCTTAATCTTGGCACCAGTTTAGTCTGCTGAATCTCTACACAATTTGCTATTATTTCAAGTGGTGAAGGTTTTTTGCACACAAAAAACTGTTTCATGGGATATCACAAGTGCTCAAGTGTGTATAGTAGTCATGTTTAGAAATGCTTATTACAGAGGAGTTCAATGTATGAGTGCCGTTGTTAAAATATTGGCATATGTTATTAGTGCCCACATTAGATGGGGGAGAAAAGGACACTTCCCATCTATCATTGGTTTGACCTCTAGTCTATTCCCTTTCATCTTTATTTTATCAATGCAGCTGTTACTTCTGTTTTATTGATTTTCATTTTTAGGTCTGTTTTTGTTGTTGAATCTTAGACAACCAAATCTACTGTACACTGCATCCCTTTTGACTATGAGAAATAGGGGATGTCAATGTTGGGTGGGAGAGGTTATAATTGCTAATTCCAAAGCTGGGGCGGGGGGAGGGGATGACAGCAATCAAAGCTTAGTCATAATACTTAATATTGTGTTGGAGAAAATTCCCTTCGGTATTACAAGAAGATGATCAGTGAAATCCAAGTCTACAAGTTGTTGGGTCTGTGTCTATTTAGTTCATCTACATCATGTAGTTTATTAATTCTAGCAGTAAATATATCAATGGTTTGAGTTAATATCCTTTTCTCACTTGAGTTTCAGGTAATTTGCCACTGTCTATCTCTTTATAAAGGCCACACAAGACCTATCCTGTCTTCAGTATAGATCTGGGATGGTTATAGCTGTAGCCAACATGCTTTTTTCCTTTCCCAGCAATTCCCTACTTTCCCTGTAAACATCTCCCATTATGAGAATGTAGTATTGGTATTAGGTAACACTTTTTTAGGAAAAAAAACTCCAAGAAAACTATTTAATTTATATCTTTTGCACTTGTCAATAGCCAAATTAGTAGTGCAAATAATTTTTATTTTTATGAACCCTAATTTTTCTACTACTACTAGGATGTTAATAATACAACTGAGAAAAAACTATGCCTCAAGCAGATGAGGCTCATTAGCTGGGGACAGCCACTTTTCTATGTATTTAGTTTGTTCTTGGTTAGACAAAAACTATGGACTATGGAAGCAAATCCAAAAAGAAAATAAAAGCAGGCTGACATTGCATAACCAGTTGTTAATTGTGTTGGAGGGGATCCCTTCCAACACTAAAATTAAGAACAAAGAAGAAGATGAGCTTTGAAGATTTTATAAGCAACCAGTTTTTTTGCATTGTCATCAGAGACGAACGTTCGAACTAAGTCACTGCATTAAAATCACAGCCTTGTCACATCAGTTTTTTTAAGTATTACGTTAGAGTTAATGAATCGTTATCTGGGAAATTTACTATACTCATATATGGTTTAGGCTAATCTACAGGCAGTATTTGAATTCGATTTTCTTATCCCGTGAGTGTTAAAAAATTAATAAATATCTTTATAAATCTTTATGTCGAAACTAGATTCTATTTTAGGATTCGAAACAAATATTAGAAGGGTTGCCGTCATGCGCACTCAGTTTGTTGACTCGATTCCACAATGGCGGACACTGACAAGTACTGTGCTGATCCTAAAAATGTACAAGATTTAACTGCATTTGTAAGTAAAAATCCTACAAAATAAAAATTTATTCAAATACTTATATTTAAATTGTCACTCAAAAGTTAATAATTAACGTTTGAATTTGTATATAAACTTGATGTATTGAGAAAAACGAATGTGAATCGGTGATTTTTTTCATGGACTGCCATTTTTTATTTCTTTCTAGTCTAGTTCTTGCATACAAGTTTGAGCTTGCTATTTGATTAATAATTAAATGGTAAAAAACACATTTGTCAGACGGACATTTAATCAATCAGCTTTAGTAATATATGTCGATTGTGCTGTTAAGTATTGATTGATCACAACAATATCTAATAGTGATATGGTAAATAAAGCCAACCCTTGAATACTGAGGGTCAATGAGTTGTGATTAAAGCTCCAAGTCTTAGCTTGTGAAATGCTGACTCCAGTAAAAAAAAATTAAAAGGAAGTAGGGCTGTAAAAATTCAATATATAGGCCTATTGATTGATTGATCATTCATACTAATTGTTGCAGACTTGCAATTATTACTTTATTAGGCCTAATATTTGGCTAGCAGTAGCAGTTATTTACAAATTATAAAGAACTTGTAATGAAATGTAATGTTAAGCATTTATTGCCCATTTGAATTGATTATTTTTTTTAATCTAGTTAACAAGATCATTTTATTTGTTTTACATTTTTACTTATTTTTTTAACAGGTACAAACATTGCTGCAGCAGATGCAGGACAAGTTTCAAAACATGTCTGACCAGATAATCAATAGAAATATCCTTTTTGTTTGAATATATTGTTTCAAACTGCAGCTCTGTAACATAAAATGAAGGCTTGTTTAGGCAAGCTGATTTACACTGCATTATCTACCTTTTTTCTCTCATCTGGTTAGGCAATGACCAAAATAGATTTTGGCAGCTTACAAAAACAGGTTTAGTCATATTTGAATTGGATTGAAGCAGTATCTCATTAAGAATTTGAGACCCACATAGCAGGTCTTAACAGTTCCAGTACCTAGCAGTACTATTCATAAGCAAGCTACAACTTATCTACAAAGCTACTTTTTATACAGAAGTAATATTACTCTTTACTCTGCAAGCATTAAGTTGGCTATGACTAAGTTACAAATAGTATTAAGTTTTTTTGTTTTTCTTTTTTTTCCATATATTTTGTTTGGTGGTTTGATTATCTGTATAAACATTATTTTCCCTAACTTTCTATACTTGATGACATGGGAACACGAATTGATGATCTAGAGAAGAACATAGCTGATTTGATGACGCAGGCTGGTGTGAGTGATGGAGGCTTGTAGTCGGCCTGAACAATCAACATCTATACAGTTTAGAAATTTATTGTAGATAGTCAGGAGAGAAACTTTGAGTTGTACATTTTAGTCATGAACTGCAGCAGCACATAGTTTAGTGTTTTATTTTTGTAATTCCAAATAAACTGGGAAACCTGGTATGGTAAAAGAAGTTTTCAGCTTTAATGTCATTGATTATTTTGTTTGTGTAAGTTTTGGTTTTAATTTGTGCATTTCAAGGATACACAATTAATTTAAGGTTTCCAGCTTAAGGTGTGGCACAATTATTTATGAATAGTTTATACAGAATTTAGTTTATTTTTATATATTGCGTCTAGTACTAAATGTTTACAAGTATCAGTACTCTTAAAAAACACATTTTTTTTTTTAAAATTTGAATTAATTGAAGAAGTATTTTTTTTAATAGTTAAAGAAAATAAGAAGCGTTGATATTTGAATGAATGTATTTTGGTATTATGTTCAAATCTGTCATTTAAAACAAAACATTGCCTTGTTCAGTATTTTTTTGTGTAATATAGTGACCCAAAGATAAAAACTATTCAACTAATGAAATTTACTGAAAACAAATTTCTATGCATTCTCTAAGACAACTGTTTTTAGTCAAAAATTTATTTGAATGTCTGATTTAACTGTTTCAATAAACGTGTAATATAATCTGTATATTTACTTTTTTATTTTATATAAAGTCCTGTGTGAAGTATTGCTTATCCATAGCTTTAGGCATATCTGACTGGCTCTAAGTACAATATCATAACTGAATCTTGGTAAAACATTCCTGGTACCCCAAATAATATTTATAGAATGCCACACTATTCTTGTTTTTTGTGTAGCTGAACAATGTAAATTTTCTAGCGGACTCAACACCTTGAAGTTTACACTGTGTAATGCGTTACTTACTATGATGATACAAACAGAAGACAAGAAAACTTGGGGCTTGGAAAACAGTAATAAAGATTTATTTATATTTGTAAAAAAACAGATACATGTGTAACTAAATAAAAGCCAAATTTAAAAAAAAGAATCACCTGAGAAAAAAATAATGACAAATAAACTAATTTCAAACAAGTACTATACAGATACATCATCATTTTTAGTCTAAATAAAAAACAACAAAAATTATGATAGGACCTGCAAATCACAGTATTAAAGAAGAATTCTTATAAAAAAGAAAAAAAAACTCACAATTTAAAATTTCTGAAATTGATCTTTTACCACAGGTTTATGTAGTAGCTTAAAACTAAATGTTTATTTTAAAAGATACATAAATTCATTTTTTTAAAAACTTTAGTGAAGAACATTTCTAAAATAAACCTAAAAATATAACATCTCACCATTTGTTTTTCCTGAAAAGTAATCCATACATTGAAGTCAGTGTGTTAACTCTCATAAAAACCTAAGCTCTGCTAAAAGTTGAATTAGTACTCAAAAAACCCATCTGCTTATTGTTACATTACATACATATTTCATCAGTGAAATTGAGCAAATAAAATTGCAGATTTCATTTAACATAATTATATTTAAATAAACATTCTATTCATGTATGCTAAAATGAAATGTCAGGATGTAGGAAATAAATGAAATTTAAAATAAAATGAAAATGACTATTTGAAAAAGAAATCACAGATCTCACCAAATGAAAATAAACAATCAGCAGCTGAAGTGTTGTATTAGTCTTTTAGCCCACACATAATCTACAATAGTCTTCTAGCCCACACACAACCTACATTAGTCTTCTAGCCCACACACAACCTACATTAGTCTTTTAGCCCACACACAACCTACATTAATCTTTTAGCCCACACACAACCTACAGTACCCCTCACACAACCTACATTAGTCTTTTTGTCCACACACAACGTACATTAATCTTTTAGCCCACACACAACCTACAGTACCCCTCACACAACCTACATTAGTCTTTTTGTCCACACACAACCTACATTAATCTTTTATCCCACACATAACCTACAGTACCCCTCACACAACCTACATTAGTCTTTTTGTCCACACACAACCTACATTAATCTTTTATCCCACACACAACCTACAGTACCCCCACACAATCTGCATTAGTCTTGTACTTGTAGCCCACACATAACCTACAGTACCCCTCACACACAACCTACATTAGTCTTTTAGCCCACACACAACCTACATTAGCCCACACATAACCTACAGTACTCCCACACAATCTACATTATACTTTTAGCCCACACATAAGTTCAGATTTCATTGTATAGTGTAAGCTTTAACTTTAAAAAAAAATCCTGTCTTGTACAGAAGACTCAGTATAAAGTATACATTACTTAAATGACTGTATAAATTAAAAAGGAATGACAAGCTTTCAAAAATATTTACTGTGTACAATAATATGAAAGTTAAAAATTAGCCATATCACTATTAAAATCACAAGTTTTAGGGTAAGGATACTTCAGCACACATTTAGGGCTCATATTGGTGATATTCAAGTTTAGTGCTGCAGCTATGAGAAAAGTAGGCTACCATTGATTATTTCCTGCACACTTTTGGACAATTGCATGACATTATAAAAATTGATTTCATAGCTATTCTGTCTACAGGAACCAGCTCACATTCAGGATTTAATTAAAGAGTGCAGTGAGGCAAAGTAAAATTATTACTACATTATTAATATTAATTCTTACTCCAATGGAACATAATATGGAACTGTGTGCATTGTCATTGATTTATTTGGGACAAAATGTCAATGCCAGCACACAGCCGCATATATTGTGTCAATGAATGAGCAATGTTTTTAGTGTGTGTAGGGCAATTAATTTTAGCGTGATGAAATCTAACAGGTTAAAGTAAATCAATAGTAAATTATGTACATTATTTTAATATTCAATATCATTGATAAATTATTGCTTTTATTCTACTGAAAGTAAGAATATTTTTAAAAATGACAATCATGTGTTAACTTAATCACTAAGGATATTGTAAATGAGTGTTAAAGGCATTTGTACAAGTTTTATAAATACCATGCTGCAATCAGTTATAAATGTAATTTTATTGTAAAAATTGTAAAACCATTTTTCCACATATGACGAGGAGGGCAGGGAAATTAATGTAGTTGTAGAATGTGAAAGTGTAGGAGGTCTGTAATCTGGTGACAACAACCACAAGACGTATATTTGTCTACAGGAACCATGACTTTCTTGTCTATCCACATGGGATATTAATTTGACAACTGTTAAAGGGAAGTAATAGTGAGAAACATTTTTGCCACATTTACTTCCCTTGACTAATGTCAAGTATTTATTTGATGTGGAACTTGTTGAAACCTTGAGCACCTTTTTTACTTATCAACTGATAAGGTCGATTTCAAAACAAAGTTTTTTTATTTATAATTCCTAATTTTTATCTCTGAATAATTTCACAGCTTTCCTATATAATAATCTAGAAATGGTTTATATTATAAAATTACATCTGATAAAATATCTACATTCTAAGACAATTGGTTTGACTAGGACTGGCAGAGCTGGACTAGAGGTAGATGATGGATTTGGGAATGGCTGAAATGGAAGGGGGAGGGGGGTACGTCATATGTGGCTGAGCTAAATTGTAGCTGCAAGCAATATAAAATTTTGGAATGTGATATGTAAGGTATCAGAAAGCATCATTTTTCAGTTATACATACTTATAAAAATAGAAAAATACAGTGCCTTGGGGGAAGTCTACTAACAAGTGCAAGTGACATGTCTCTAATTGCTTTTAGGATCAATTAAATGTACATAAATAAATGAGCAGTATTGTGTTTCATGTTAACTCAGCTAACATTAACCATATCTACAAAAAGCAGTAGTAAAAAAAAAAGATTCTTAAAAACAGGTCTGATCATTTTTCCACCAACAAATATTTTTTTTTAAATTATAAAAAAAAAGATTCTGTATAAATATTTGACATATTAGAAATGTGAAGCCACAGATGAGTCTATATATATCCTTGCAGCTGCCTGCAATCACCATTTTGGTGGAACATGTAGCAGGTGCAAGTTTATTTACACAGACAAAGTCAGGAGATTTTGTAAACTGGCCAGGTAATCTAAATAATTTTTGCGCTGGTGAATGTAAAATGTCACATTCAGTTATGGCTAGATTGATATCTGATCTTTCCACTGCAAGGGCCATAAGTAACAAAGGTCCTGATACTTTAGTAGTAAATTGAAAAAAAAATAATGCTACAAAACATCAGCTGGTAAACTATGCAAATGTTTTTTTAAAAGTGTTATTGCACATGCCCACTTAATTTAACTTGCCTGGCATGTAAAACAGTTAAATTTTGATTCCTGATATCTCTCTCTAATATTTAAGCCTTTAATGAAAAAATGATTTATATGATCAGTTAATTGTAAGTGAAATAAAGTTTACATACTATTAGGCAGATCTAGACGATGAAGACAAAATTAGGTTATTTACATTTTCTTTGAATACCTTCATTTAACAATCAAATACAAATTTGTTTTTCATTAGTTTTGCAGATCATCACAGCCATTTCTCAATTAACAAATATATTTTTTTTCATCTGGTTAGTAGAATTTAAAAACTTAATAAAAAAATGTATTATTTAGCTATGCCAGACATAAAACAAATTTTAAACATTTAAGATTTAGACACTTGTGCCATTGTATAGCAAAATGTGTAAACTATACATTTCAACTACAAGCTTAAAACATCAAACAATTAATTAGATAATAGTCAAATGACAGTGGGGACATCCTAAAAAGTTTAAAAAAAATTATTACCAAAGAGTAAATCACTTTTAATAATGAGGCACAAAAAGAAAAACTAAAATTACAATTAAACTAAAATTACATTACAAATGAAAATATTTGCTGCTTAAAAAATACAAACTGTAAAATGGACTACTATTTTGTTGTATCACATTAATGCAAAGGTTTGTAATTTACATAATTGTAATTTGGAATGCAGACAATCATCAGGACTAATGTTGTTTGTTGTTCTGTCAGGAAGCTCAAAAGTTGGAGGTCTTATTCATCTTGAACATTTCATTTCTTTTTCATAATTACCATGAATGCTGCAATAAATGATGTTTTAAACATTGTTAATGGCCTGATAATTTTCTAAAAGTGCAACACCAACACTTTTAAAATAAAGCATAAATCTAAACAATGCATGTTTTTAAAAAATAATTTTAAAACAATTTAATGAAAGTAGGATGTAATGATAATAAAAATATAACCAACTAGAATTTAAAATATACATTAGGCATCATGGATAGGCTCATTTTCTTTAGCTATCATTAAACAATTTTTTTCAATTTTGAGAATTGGTGTTTATTACATTGATAATGTATTTGCTTAAAGTGATGTATAAGTATAATTTATAATGTATACACACTGTGCTTATTAAAATAAAATTAATACTTCTCATTTTGATCTGTGTCCTCAGGCATAACTGTACCAAATGGATAGTCCCAAAATTTAGATGAAATTCCAAATCCTAAAATAAGAGCATAAAATCAGTCATTTTTGAAAACTCTTTTTCAACTCAGTATTATCAAATACATGAATTATTTAGTAGCCCTAGACTGATTTAACAAAATAAAAGAATAAAAAGATATTAAAATATGAAAATATACCTTTCTGTTGGTGTTTATAATGATGGAGGTTATGGTGTGTCTTCAGTCTTTGAAAATAATTCAAATATGGCTTGCCTCCATGATGCAGATAGTAATGGATGAGGTCATATGACACATAGCCTGAGACTATGCCAGAGAAGATAATCTGGGCCATGCCAGTTGGGAAAATGGCCAAGCACATCAGAAAGAAGCTAACAGCAAAGAAAAGTGCTGGCAGTGGTGGAAAAACTAGCCGTTTCGGATCCATTGGACTCTGAAAAAAAAAATTACTTAGGATGGGCTGCATAAGTTGGATAATTAGTAGGCTAGTTGATGTCAAATAAATATTTTGTGCTGTGATGTTATTATTTTAACATGTTACCAAGGATAGATTGTTTAAGTTGTTACTTTACTGCTAACGTTTTAAGTTCTAAAGAAACATTTTTTTAAACTTAAATTATTACTACCTTTATAGAACAACATAAAAACCAGCATTTTAAACATTATCCTTCATGATATTTTGGTGCACGTTTAAGCTATAAATTATATAACAGTTTCAAGTGGGCAAATATATTTGTTAATGTGACCTATTTTGACTAGTGTACTAATCACCTCTTCTATTTATAAGTTTTTAATATTATTAGCATTGTAATGTGTATTATTTATCTTTAAGCTTATACTTGATGAGTAATAAATCTGCACCAATTTACAAGTAACTTTTGAAAACTAAATTATTAAAAAATTTTTAATCTAGTGATCAGGGTATATAACTGACGAATTATTTTTACCTTGTGATGTTGACCATGTAAGGAAAAATGCAGTCTTATAAAAAATGGCCAGTCTGATGGAGGCCTGAGATGAAACAACCAGCGATGAATTACATATTCTAAGAGGGTCCAAAAGGCAACTCCAAGTACAAATAAAAATGGCATTGAATGGGGTCCATGCAGGTGCCCTGAAATGTGTTTTTTTTATCACCAAGTTAAATTAAAAAATATTTTGTATTAGAAAGAAAATTTGCAAGCAATCTAAAAAACAATTTTTATCACAAAAGCTACATGATTTCATTTGATTCAGAGGACATTCAAAATTTCTATTCAGCTAATGTCATTTATATTTTATTCATAAAGCCTTCTGCCTGGATCTTATGATACATTAGATTTATTTGTTCTTTTGCTGCTACAGTTTCTAAAGCATGAATTACAACAAAAAAATTACAGAATTTGACCTTAAGGCAAAGTAGCGTAAAAGAATTTTTTTTAAATGAATGATTTACTCGCTACACATTTCAACTTAAAAGTTGTCCTACATTACAATAATTAGACAGAACTTTTATTTAACAAATGCATCATTGCATAATTTTAAAAAATCAATAATTGCTAATAACAATAAAATTCAGGAAGTAGAAATAAATTATCAATAAGTCAAAGGCAATTTTAAACAAAAATGTTTATAAAATTTTATGTAACATAAACTAGATCTAGCTAGAGAATAAAAATAAATTTACCTAAGGCATTTTTAGGCCACATTTCTGGTTCCTGAGAAAGGTTTGTATAAGATGACCAAATCATGAAGAAGATAACAGGAAGCCATGTGATCGGGACGTACCACCAATCAGCTTTGGTCAGCATCTCGGCTAGGTCAGATTGGAAGAGTCGCACCGGCCAGTCCACCTGCTGGTGTGTCCAGCTAAAGTACTTGTCTCCAAGTAGTTCTACTTGACCCAGCAAGGGCTTGGACCAATCAACAAGGTCATTTTTCATCTGAGGAATCAATCATGCATAAATATTTTATTAAGGTGAACTTTCTTTTAAAGCAATGTTACATTTTATAAGTCATGTAAGTGATAACTTGAATATGCCCAACTCCAACCATACCAGCAAAGGTTCTACCCATTACTCACATATTCTAATCTTCTTTTCTCTGTGCTTGTTATATGACTGTAATGTCCATTTGTATGCTGAAAAAAAGTAATATAATTATATGTATAAAAAAATAATTCATGCCTAAATAAAAAAATAATATATATATATATATATATATATATATATATATATATATATATATATATATATATATACATGTATATACACACATTCAAACACTTGACTGTTTGAATATAAGCAATGTAAATGTACAAACAGCAATGTGTACTTTTCAAATACCCAATTAAGATAATTACTGTAATTTATGTAAGGGCAGTCATCTAGGCTTCACAGAAAATGGATGGAAAAATACTGGACTTCATTTGACTTTCAAGTAGAGACCAACTGTCCAACATTAAATTCTTAACCTTGAGACAAGCAACATATAGATGAATGGATTTTTTGTATGAGTGCTTGAGTTTCAGCCACATCGCAAGAAATTGCGGCATATGTTTATAGTCCCATGATAGTGTATGGGGATGTCCACACCAATATGATGATCAAGTATTTGTTTATATGTTCACATGTTATTATATGATCACGTGTTACTATATGGGGGGTGTCCAGATCTACATGACGATCAACAAGAGGATCACACATTTGTTTATACGGGTCACATGTTATTATATGAGGGTGTACACATGATGGTTCACGTGTTACTATATGAATAATGAGGATGTCCACTTCAACAAGATCATCACGTGATAGTGTATGATAATGTCCACCAGAGTTTCTTCCAGGCATCTCTTCGGGGGGGGGGGGGGGGAAGTCTACCGCCCCCCCCCCCCCGAACGAAATGAAATTTATATAGAAAATATATATTTTTAGCAGTGTCCCCCCCCCCCCGAAGAAAGTCTACCGCCCCCCCCCCCCCCCGAAAATTTCAAGTGCCCCCCCCCCCCCGATAAAAAAAACACTGATGTCCACACCAACACGCGCTAAGCCACGTGACTCGTATTTCTAGACACGCACCAGACGAAGCTGTGACTTGCAGATTTACAACTTGGAATTAAACAAAGCTGTTTGTTTCGCTAATGACGGTCAAGGCTTGAAGTTGATAGAATTATTGGATACGTAACCTTGACATAGATCTACATGTTGGAAAAAGAAGTTAAGAAAACGATACACTATAAATAATAATTAAAAGCATGGAGGTGATTTCACAAAAATAAACTTAACAAAGGGAGGTGATTATACATTTAGTTAAGGGTATGTGAAGGTTATGGGACTTGATTACCAATGTAAAAGATAATCTTCTTAAAATGAGTTAGCTCACAAATCGATTAATTTGCTCATTAATCAATTCACCGTGATTTAATTTGAATAGTGTGTGGTCTTTTTAATGACTAGGCCAACATTAAAATATAATTATGGAATTTAATTAGTTTAATGACTTGCCGAATAGCCTTAGCATTTAAGCTGATTTAAGAAAGTGTTAAAAAAACTGCATTAACTTGGTAGTTGGGCATATGGTGGTCGTTTTAATGATTAGAGATTTTGTCGTTATGTGTATAGCTGTTGTATGTATATTTATGGGTTTAGAGTTATTGTCGTTATATTTATGGGTTTAGAGTTGCTGTCGTTATATTTATTATTTATGGGTTTAGAGCTGTTGTCGTTATATTTATGGGTTTAGAGTTGCTGTCCTTATATTTATGGGTTTAGAGTTGCTGTCGTTATATTTATGGGTTTAGAGTTGTTGTCGTTATATTTATAGGTTTAGAGTTGCTGTCCTTATATTTATGGGTTTAGAGTTGCTGTCGTTATATTTATGGGTTTAGAGTTGCTGTCGTTATATTTATGGGTTTAGAGCTGTTGTCGTTATATTTATGGGTTTAGAGTTGCTGTCGTTATATTTATGGTTTAGAACTGTGTCAGTGGCGTCGCTAGGTCGTGTGTCACCCGGTGCGGCACCTGATGGTGTCACATCCACCCCTTTATTTTTCTATGTAAATTTTGCAATTGGTGTCTCCCCCCCCCCACCAGTAAAAGCCTTAAATGATTCACATTTAATACTAATGAAGTTTATCTATAGTCGTTTGTTAATAAAGCTGTGTATCTCTTTCCCCCCCCCCCTTGTCACAGTCGTCATTATGTACTTAAAATACTGTTTTAAATCTGATTAACCATTCATTGAACTGGCAAAAAAAAAAAATTATTCGACATATCTTGCAATTTTTTTGTCTTGGTGTCACCCCCCCCCCCTCTCCTATAGGATGTCAACCGGTGCGGTCCGCATCCCCCGCCACCGCCTCGTGACGCCCCTGGCTGTTGTCTATACTTTTGGGTTTACAGCTGTTATCGTTATATTTATGGGTTTAGAGATGTTCTCGTTATATTTATCTATAGTCGTTGTCTTTATATTTTGATGTGTTGTTGTTGTTATGGTTTGATGTGTTGTCATATTTATGGGTGTCGTATTTACGTATAGGTGTTGTTATTACGCCCTTTGTTTTAAAAATGTAAATGTGTGTGTTAGAACGCAGACAATTGAATTATTGTTCGAACTTATCTTATCTCACTCTCCCAATCCGATATTCACTCGCATTTTAATTAAGACAGAAACATTAAGTTACGATACGTGCCATGTTGCATGTCTGTAAGCAGGATTTATTGTATTTTAAAATCTAATTCTTTCCAATAAAAAGATCTTTGTGGAGTATCTATTTTATATGCTAATCGGCCAAACCGGTGTTTATAGCGGTAAATATTTCTATAGAACGCATCGATACTACTGTGTGATTAAATAATCGATACCAGAAGCGCCTTCTTTACTTGGCTTTGACCGTAGTATTTTCCTGTGGGCAGGAACTATCACATTATTCACATGCCAGTTTGGATCCTAAACACACAGCGCTTTTATTTTATTTTTTAGCATTAGACTGCAGGAATTCTAACCCATACCTGGCAACTATTCTAATTATATTTCCACTGCCGGTAAAATCAATATTTTTTATGTTTAGAAAATCATCTTAAATTCAGGCACAAAGGGAAAGAGAAGAAAAAAACGAAAATGTTTTAGTGGGAATAATGACGTGATTGTGGAGATCTGAAGTAACAATTGGAAATGATTTGTCAAGCGCGGACTAAACTGACAACTCGCTCCTGTGATGTCTGATGTTACTTTTGATGTCTGATGTTGCTTTTGATGTCTGATGTTACTTTTGATGTCTGATGTTGCTTTTGATGTCTGATTGACGGTTATCCGTTTTTAGACTATCAGTGACATTAAGCGTTTGTAGACATATATGAATATGAACTGGCTTTATCTAGTTTAGAGTAGATCATATTGATAAAAAAAAAACAACAACACAAAACCTTAAAAACAACAGACTAAGTAGACACACAGGCCATCTATTTAAATAAAATACCAAACAGTTTTAGATTTATATCCTAATAATTATTTCAGAAAGATAAATAATTCAATATGTAGACGGACAAACGCAGTTAATTTTTGGGACTGGCAAACTCTGTTTGGTGGTAGCTAATAGCGGGAACAGCTCAGTATAAACAACACACTACTGTGTTCTAGGTCAGACCAGTTCACGTCTACACAATGTTTATTGACTATTGATGAACACACGGGAATTAACACACGATTTTAAAACTGTCTATCTCGATGACGCAGTCTTTGTGAAGCCCTCAGAAATTGATGTATGACCATATACATACATTAACAACATAAGACATACGCATGATCATGTGATTTGATGTCCTATTTTTATCCAATCATTCAATCCGGATAATTTTATAAAAAACAAACCACTTTAAAACATGAGAAAACTACACTGACTGGTATAAGAACAATCCCACGCCCTCCTTCATCAGATGAACAACCTCACTCCTTCTACTATTTGTTCACCCAACCCACCTCATATGTAACACCTCCTTTATGAACACCCCCACCTCCTCACCGCCTCAGGAAACTTTCCCTTTCATCTCTAAATGAAAATACATGAACTAAAAAAATTCATAAAAAACGTTTTAATTACAAGCTTTTATGTAATGATGCACTAAAAAGTAGAAAATAAATTATAGACTACTGTTTAAATAACTATAAAGAAAAGCGTGGGTCACTTTAGTATCTATTGGATACCTTTACTAATGTTAAGGAAGACACCCACGCTTTTCTTTCTAGTTATTTAAACAGTAGTCTATAATTTATTTTCTACTTTTTAGTGCATCATTACATAAAAGCTTGTAATTAAAACGTTTTTTATGAATTTTTTTTTCAGTACTTTACATGTTTTATTTATAATAGAGTTACATGACTAAAAACCATTGCGCGCCTACTGAACATCACGTTCAGTAGGCGCGCAATGGTTTTTGAACGCAGCCATTACGTGATGGCGCAGCTATTGAAGGTGATGACGCGTGTGGTGTGGTTGGCTAGACATGCCTACTAATTCGGTCCAAATTTTTATTAATTCATAAAAAATTAATTAGGCATCCAATTAAGTCAAATTTAGTTTCAGATTGCATTGTCTTCATGTCTTGACCCACGTGCCAACTTTGAATCGTATCGGTCAAGTAGAACTGTCCAAATTTTCACTCCTGCGTTTCCGTCTAGACAGACTGACGACAGACAGAGGAAGTGAGTTAAATAAAAGCTTGTAAAAAAACAACAATTCCCCATAACAGTCGATTGAACGCCCAAGTACAACCGTCGACTAAGAAAAAAAAATAACTAGATCTAAACTCCAACATCAAATAATTACAAAATTCTAAAAAATAAATAAAAAATAATCATATCAATCCATTTCTATCGATTATTTGATAGACTTAAAAAAAATATTTTGAAAGTATGTTTTTTTACATACCAAAATGTAGACTCATTAAAAAAAAAACACGTTTTGATATGCCAAACTTCCTAGTGAGTTTAGTGCAGCTATTTTACCTTATGACCCCATTTTAATCCCCACCCCTTTCGTTAGCCTCGTTATCGATATAATTTATACTTCGGTTTCTTCACAACCCCCTCATCCCACATTGTTTTATTTGAAATACCCAGCGATCGATTACGATAAAAATGATT